CTGTGTGTAAAGCAGCAGTGTTTCAGGAAAGGTCTGGCCGTTTGAAGAGAATTGGGAGCAAGAATTAAAATAAGAGGGAGTGTTTTTCAGTGCTGAAAGAGGATAAAAAAAGAAAGATCTGGCAGAAGAGGGAACAGAGAGAGGCATTGAATTGCAAGAGGTTGCTGCTGAAAGAAAAGCCATGCCTGTTCCCTGGGTCTTGGGAAGGAGAACAGCACTTGAATTAAAGTAACAGACTGGGTGGGAAAAGGTCCCGTCCGCTGGAGTTGCACCAAGGAGCCGAATTCCTGTTTTCCTTGCTGTATCCCCTGCCCTTGCAGGCCCGTGGAGCCGGGCCAGGGAGCTATCTCGGCCATCTGGCTGCGGAGCGGCGGCCGCCCCGGCTAGATAAACTGACACATTTGGAAGAAGCCTCTCCGCATGCTGTGGGCCTGCAACCGGTGTCCTTTCGAATTACTCTCATTCCAGCTCCCGGAGTGTTCCCCTGGGAATGCCCTCGGGATATTATCATTGCTTGCTGGCAGCTGGCTCCATAAAAATCTGGGACAGATAGGAGTGGGAGAAGTCTCACGGAGCTGCGGTGAGAGCACAGGGCACGGCGAGTGCTGCGGGGCCTCCGGATTCGGCCGTGCCACGAGGGGAAATGGGGAATCGTGGAGGAGGCCGAGGCTGTGCGCGCCGGGGTGAGCGTGGGAAGCCCTTCCCAGCTGCGTGCCCGGCCGCAGCCTGCTCGGGGAGCTGAGCTCCACTCCTTCCCCTCCACTTTTGGTGCCTTTTTTCCTTTTCCTTGCCTTATATTAAGAGCTCTGGTGCCTTCTCTGTGACAGGGCTACAGTGCTGAATCAACCTAGAGTTTATAAATAAGGTGATTAAAAGTATACAGGACTGAAATACGATAAGGGTACTCAGCCGTATTGCGTAATTCGCGTGCCACAGACTGCCCACACGTGTGACATAAACCTGGTGAGATCTCGCTACAGGATCTTGAACTACTACCTGTCCTTTGAGCAAGTGCATCCTCAGAATGTGCACGTGAGAGGGATGCAAAAAAAGTAGAATACATCAGTTTTAAAGCTTTCTTAAAAAGAATCTGACACACTTCATTTTTATGTGGAAGCTCAAGTATTTGCTTATGGTGTGGGCATCACATGGTCACACACAGCAGTCTGGTACTGAGGTGCCTTTCGTACAGTACTGTAGATGTCCTGTAAATGAAGAGAGGGAGCAATAGGAATTGATATGTACTCACCTGTACTTGCCAGCATCACATCTACTCCCAGTCCTGCAGTGCCTGCTCTCACATTGCCGGTATTCGGGGATGCCAAAGGGTCATGCTGTGGGTGGCAAGCTGGAGAGAAGTTGAAGGAAAGAGATAATTGCTCAAAAGCAGCATGCCAGGTAACTGCTTGTCATTAGGAAATGAGTAGTCCTGCCTAGCGGCAATACTCTTGCTAAATCCAAATGTGGAATAACTATTGAAGGAAGTGTAATGGTTGTCACCTACTCATCAAAAAGGGCCAGTGGGATGGAGTAGAAGGCTGCCCTCTCTTCATCTGAAAATAGGTCCTAACTGCAGAGTGCTACTATATTTAGGCAGCTGAGACCTAAAGAGAAAGCGTGGCAAACTACATCATTTTGTTGTGTATTTTAGCACTATTGGGTGAGAGAAGTTCATGAAAACTTATTCCTGAAGCTCATGAACAAAGTCAAGTTCATGAAGCTGCTCAGTACAGGAGGATCAGCATCTGAAAGAGAGAAATCATGCAGCGATTTGGAGCAGTTCACAGAATCACAGAGTGGCTGAGGTTGGGAGGGACCTCTAGAGAACATCTAGTCCAACCCCCCCGGCCCAGCAGGGACACCCATAGCGTGTGGCACTGGGTGGCATCCAGGCGAGTTTGGAAGGTCTCCAGAGAAGGAGACTCCACAGCCTCTCTGGGCAGCCTGTTCCAGGGCTCTGTCACCTTCACCGTGAAGAAGTTCTTCCTCCTATGGAGGTGGAACTTCCTGTGTTTCAACTTGCATCCATTACCCCTTGGCCTCTCACGGGTCACCACAGAGAAGAGCCTGGCCCCATTCTCCCTACATTCACCCCTCAGGTACTTATACAGTTGCCGTTGCTGGTACTGGGTTTCGCTAATGTGATATTTTACAGCTGATATGTTGTTGGAATATGGCAATAACGCTAAAATAAAGATATGCTGGGAGAGTTACACGTTTCCAAACTGTGTGTGTGCCTGGTTAACTCTGCTCTGCTTTCCTGCAGGGCGAAAATCCACGCATCGCGCGAGGTAGACCCCGTGGAGCTCCCAGACTGCTGGCTCATTAAGGGCATTGGTAGGTGCTCAGAGGGACCGAGACCACTGCTTTAATACAGGCTTAATTTACCCCCAGTTGCTAAAGCCAGCTTCTGAGACAGAAAATAAATTGCTGATTTAGCTTTCAAAACTATTTTGTTACATGGATTCTTAGGGAGGGAGAAGCAGCAGGTGGAAGGTTATACTTAAAAACCAGCTATTTTTGCCTCTTCTGATACCCCATTTTGAGGAGATTTGGGAGAGGGCTTCTACCACTCTGTGCACAGGAGCTCAGTGCAGTTGCACAATTTACCCTTAGAGTTGCAAAGACCGAGGGGTCATATTTGTGATTGCAGCCTGGTTTGTGAAGGGGTTTAGCAGAATGGCTGAAATGTTGACTTTGTACTTTAGGTCATGCATTTAACACCGTCTTTTGGTTTTTTTTTTCCTGTTTTTTTTTCCCTCCCTGTAGTATACCCAGAGTATCAATAGCTTTAAACATGCAATGTGTCTCTCCTGCCTGCAAATTTTAATTTTTAAGCTTAATACTGGGTTAGTGACTGAGGTGCTTTCCCCTTTAGTGTTTCAGAAATGTCTGAACTCTGTTAAAATTTGCATGGATTGCATGTGTTAAAGAAAATCTCTCCTCAGAAGAGATTTAGCAGCCCTGCCTTTGAGATTTAGCAAACAAACAGCCTTGCTGAGGCACAGTGCCAGTTTCATAAATCCTGCCTCTTCCTTATTTCAGGAACCAGAAATCTTTATGAAGTCAAATTACAGCAATGAATGAATGTCTACAATATTCCTTTGCCTGAGGTTATATGCAGAATAAGTCTTTAGAAATCCCTCTTGAAGAAACTCTCCAGATCTACACTGAGCTGTGGTTTACTCATGTGAGGCTCGGGATAATGCCTGTTTGATGATGATTCATGTAAAAACATTTTTGAGTGATTCTTTCAAGAGCATCACTACTTCATTCTTTACGAGAGCTGGCAAAATACTTGTGCTGTTGAGGAAAGAAGGAAATGCAAGTACGGCTCTGCTTAATTTCCAACCAAAATGCTGAGCAATCCCTCATTTTTGGCGCCTGACATTTGCATGAAGATTAGGTGAATTCTGAGACTGCTGCTTTGCTCAAGGGCTGCAGCTTCTCAGTGCACAGAGATTTGTTCCTGCTTCTCGCTTTGCCCTGGCCCTGCACATGGAGGTGGGCACCTTGTCTCGGGTTCAGGCTGTCATCTGTTTAGGAAAGAGCAAAGTGGAGAAGCTAACTCTCTGGGGGCAGAAATAGAGAAAACAAAGGATGATTGCAGTTTTAAAAGGCTTCATCTTCCCCCAGCAGTCTTCCAAAATTAATTTAATTTGACTGAGGACAGGTTATATCCCTAAGGGAGCCTGGGGAGCCCTAACACACAGGTGCTGCCTGAGTAAAGCGAGTCAAACCAGGGGTTTTGCTGTGCTCACATCTGTAAGGTTGCTCATGTGAGTGACTCCAACTATGAAAGGCATCTTTCCACATGTGTATCCTGGTCCTCCTGTGCCTTTTTCCTTTAAAAATACTAGGATAAAACTGAATAAACACTATCCTTCTTTTGGCGGTTGAAGTAATCCTGCCGGTCTTGTAAGTGGGACACAGGTAATGAGCTGGAGCAGCTCCATACAGCATAATCTTAAACTACCCGTTCTGTACACATCAAAACATACAGCAGCTGGTGTAGTCTTTTGTAATTATGTTAAAAGCAATGCATCAGTAGTAATGGAAACAAACCCAGAGTAAATAGCAAAATCCTCTAGTGGGCTCTTACTTTTATGCACAATTTCCTCCTTTCTCTCTCTCTCTCTTTTTTTTTTCAAGACCTTGATCTCTTCTGCTTTTCAAAAATTGTGCAATTTAAGCACAGCTGCAAACACTGAACAAACTAATAAAAAAAAATGCAGTTGGTCCTAAACCTCATCCACAAATATGTAGAAAATTCTCTATTTGTTGAATAAACATTATCTATCTTCTGGATTTTATGGTGCCCTAATCATGTTAGTGGTTTATAATAAATTAACTACGTGTCCTGAAGTAATTTCTCTAAGTTCAAGAAGCTGCTACAGAAACTGCTGTAAACACTTGCATCTTAGCAAAATGCATGGGATATAGACATGAAATTCACTGGCTTAGGGGCTTGAAATCCAATTTCTTTATTGCTAGGTGCCTCTGCAGAATAACTCATACTATGGTAAAAGTGAAGAAAAATCAAATATAAATTTTCTAGGGTAAACAGTGGCTTTGGGGGTACTTTTAATTTTTGTTTTATTTTTAAATTACCTATTCAGATTGCTCAGGGGACAAGCTGGGCCAGGTGGTGGAATTAAATATTAAAGTGCAGGTAACTCGCAGACGCCTGGTGAACAAACTGCCAGCTCTGGGGGCTCGTGTGCCAGTGGCAGCGCTGAGCGAGTCCCCTCAGCAGGACCTGAGCCGTTCCCTGCAGCTCCGGGTCTATAACCCTCCACCTCTGGGGTCTCTGGGGTGGTGGCCCGGCAAAATCAGGCCGTACAAGCTCCTGTTGCTGCAGGAATTGAGCCTCTGCGCATGCAGTGGTTCTGGGATGTGGGGAATTGCTGCCACCCCCGTTTCCTAGAGGAAGGGGGGCTTGGTGAGAACACGAGCTGGGGTTGAAAACTAAGGCGGGAGTGTTTTGTTAAAACGGGGATATGAGCAGAGCTGAAACGTCCAGGTTCTGGGTGGAAAAGCTCTGTGCCAGCTGCCTGCTTGGATGCAGCCTGCAGAACATTCTTGTCCCACAGCAGAGGCTCCCAGGTGGGTGAATGGAGTCGCTTCCTGGAAAGCGGCTTCCCCGGAGCCCTGGCCGTCTTCTGGGGAACGCAGGGAGGCCTCTGGAGAAGCTGTCAAAGTGCAGGCTGGAAACATACTTGAGCATTTGACTAAACACTCTGTGGAGACTCCTTGATCCCGGTCTAAAATTACTTAGTATTCTTACTAAAGGACTTGAAGGGCTCTTTTTTTTTTTTTCCCCCCCAATAGGGAAAAATAACTGCAGTAACTGGCAGAATTAACCCACGATCAAAACTGTGCCTAGCTAATTAAAGCTCTTAGCTGTTAAAGATACGGTAGTTTCGCTCTCACTTGAGAGCTTTAACTAAATATTTGGCTATTTCATATTTCGATATTTCATCTTGAAGTGTCCCGCAGCAGTTCCCGTGTGAGGTTCTCCCGGGCCGCGTTACCCAAGTGTGCAGGCCGAGGGCTGCCACGGTGCTGCCCTCGAAATCGCTTCGTCGAAAGCGGGTGCTGCTCGGTGCTGCGGGACATCAAAGTTGTCCAAAATGAGTGTTTCATCCCGTGTGGCTGGGCTGGGAGGAGAAGCAAAAAGTGATTTTAAGTGCAGTTGCATAATATAGAGCGTTAAAGGCCAAACCAAGGGGGTTTTTGGTATCGCTTTTAGTAATTGCCGCAGCCACCGCAGCTTTCTGCGCTGCCCTTCATCAGTTCTTTGCCGTGATAGCAGAAAGGAGCACGTGTGAGAGCTGCAGGCTCTCAACACAAGGTTGCTCAGCAGGGAATGCTTAACGTCCTCGGAAGCAGCTGGATTCCTGTGTCTGTCTTTGCAGAAAGCGGGTCAGAAGACATCGACATCCTCCCGAATGGACTGGCCTTCATCAGCTCCGTGAGTGTCTGCGCTGCTCCCCAGGCCGGGCTCGCCTGCGCGGTGCCTGCTGCCCGCGGGAGCAGTAGGTGCAAGTTGCCGGGCAGACTCGCCCTACACATGTGGCTCCCAAAGAATAGGGCCTATTCCAGGCCCTAATTCCTGAGGAATTAACCGGCCTAGCCAGCAGTTCCTGCTCTCTGATTGAGTGCGTTTGTCACCTTGGAGGTGGTGGCAGTGGCTTTAACACGTGTATCCTACTGCACTTGCTCATCTCCCCACATGACCTTGATTTTCTGTCATGCTGCTCACTTGAAATGTCAAACCTCTCCCTTTTTAAAAATGAGTGCAAATATCCTATGCTAAAAAAAAATACATTTTTTGTGCTGTGTTGTTCATGTGGGGTTTTCATTCCTTTTTTGGGGGGGTGGGATGAAGCACTTTAGGATTTATGTTTTCAGGCTTTTCTTTGTGGTCAAGAGGGCTAGAAATTCCTTTCGAAAACAGAAGCGAAGCTGTGATTTTCATTTATGTGCCCTAGGGCCATCAGTAATTTTGCCAAGTTAATGACACAAATCATAGCTGTCGCCCTGCTGCTGTTCGTGGTGGCTTCAGCGTGTTTCTGTGTGAAGCACTCAACTGTGTTGGGCTTCCAGCTTTTCCTCCAGAGTAATCATTCAAAGAGCAATTTCAAAATGTGGGGAGAACATGAACCGTGATGTGGGGGACCACGGCGGAGAGCAGAGCCTGCCCCTGCTCTGCCTGCTTTGGGGCACAACAGGCTGAAGGGGCAGGGGATCCTGCTGTGTGACTGCAAGGCCAGACAAGGCTTCAGCATTTTCAGCCTTGTTATGCTCCTCTCATCATTTCTGCGGGAATGATCATAACATATTTTGATCTTACAGGGGTTGAAATACCCAGGAATGCATAGCTTTGCACCGGACAAGCCAGGTGAATTATTTTTGATGGATTTGAATGAAGACAATCCAAGAGCAGTTGAACTGAGAATCAGTCGTGGTTTTGATCTGGCATCATTTAACCCTCATGGGATCAGCACTTATGTAGATAAAGGTAAAGAGAGCTTTAATTGGAGGTGGCATCAAATCTCAGCCTAAGGAGTGCAAGCAGAAAGTCCTTTGCTGCCTTGCACTGCGCTCCCAAGAGCCTGCACTTGGTGGGAGGGAGGAAGGTTTTCAGACAGGAGGGTGTTTTATAAACTGAAAGAAAACGCAGAAAGTGTTTCAAGTGTTGAAACCACCTCAGCCACCTTTCTCTCACACGTGAGCTCAAAGATTTTCCAGAGATGTGTGCTCCACACTCTAGTAGTGACCAAAACTTCTCTGTAGTACTGACCCGACTTCTCTGGATAAAGTGTAAAGTGTTTCCTTTTGCTTTTTAGTCTACATGGCAGTCTAGTTTACATGGCAATTCTCAGGATAGAGAAAGGCCAAACAAAGGCTGGGATCAGGATCTGGTTGCACAGGGGTGTATGGAGCAGCAGATCTTCGCTACTTTGTCCTTCTACCAAAAGCCATGAGCTAAATGCACAAAACCAACATGTGCTCTGTATGAGGCTGCCTCAGAGCTGTGGATGCTTAGCGATTCAAGCAGCTATAGAGAAGGGGTGAAATTCAGCTGTTTCCTTTTGCTTTCTCTTTTTTAGATGACTCTGTGTACCTCTTTGTTGTGAACCATCCACATCACAAGAGCACAGTAGAAGTGTTTAAATTTTCAGAAGATGATCGTTCTCTTTTACACCTGAAAACTGTTCGACATGACCTTCTACCAAGGTATTGGTTCCAAATACGACCTTCTTCCCTCTAAGAATAGGCTTCTTTTGATAAAACCCGAAGTAAGGTAATTTTATATAGAGAGTAATATTAATAAGAGAGCTTTTCTCTTTCAAATGGCTTTCCTGTTTCTCTCATTAGTTACTTCTAATCTATGTAATCCAGTGCTGTGTTTTTCCAATCTCTTTTGTGAATGAGAAATTTTAGTAGTCGTGAAACATCACTAAATCAGTCTTAGCCTCTGCTGATTGATGGTAGTGAATTATCTTAGTTTGGCATCCTTTTCTCCTCATCTTCTCCTGTAGCCCAGTCTTAGTTCACTGCACATATTCTGCCGTCCTAAATTTGCTACATACTAGAAAACTTGTACATTTTTACCTTTTTTCTTTTTGCTACTGACACAATTTTCTTGTTTCATTGCTGCAAAATTATTGCAATACTAAGGCATCTGGAAAAATTAAGTTGCTACAACTCCTAGCGATTCTCTGTTTTACAATTGAGTGTAATAGAGAGCAAAGTCTGTGTGGGCTTGTAAACAGGTAACAAAATCACTGATTAATGCCCTGTGGTGATATTCAAATCTCAGCACTTGAACTCTGGCACATATAGAACAAATGGAAGTAAAACCAGTTTAACAGTTTAAAAACAGTGTGTGTATCTGAAATGCTGGCGGCGTCTTTTGAGTAACTGTATCCCAGCGGGATTCTGGAAACTTTTTCATAGCTTTCATTTATGTATGTATTTATTTATTTATTTCTCTTTCTCTCTCCTTTCTCTTTTTTCTCTCTTTTTCTCTCTATTTTTTTTAGTGTGAATGATATAATAGCTGTAGGACCAGACAGCTTCTATGCTACCAATGACCGCTACTTCTCTGACTTCCCCTTGTTATTCTTGGAGAGGTTCTTGGGTTTGACTTGGACAAACGTTATTTACTACAGTCCAAAAGAAGTTAAAGAAGTAGCAGATGGGTTTTATTCGGCCAATGGAATTAACATCTCACCTGATGGAAAGTAAGTTTCTCCTTGCCTCTGACTCTGTTGGATCGCTTGAAAGAATCCTGAAATCCTAATTTGTACATTCAATTGTGGTTGAAGTGTCTGAACTGACTCAGTTTAGGTGCTACCTGTAAAATATAAACAATACAAAGTGTTTGTAGACCAAAAGTAAAATGTCTCTCTGTCTATACAGGAAGTGTTCTCCACTTTATGTAGTGTCTGACATGCAGTAATATCAAAGGTTGCTGCATCTTAGCCGGCTGATGAGGAAGTTTGTATATATTGCTTGCAAGGAGGAGTGGCACAGCATTTCTCCTGAAAGTGGGGAATGCTCTACAGTCTTAAAGGCTATACGAGTGCATTAGCTAGTTATGTGTTTTAAACAGGTAGTCTGTAAAAAGAAAAAAAAAGCATATTGATGTGTCTAATGGTCTAAGGACAGCTTCAGAGTGTGGCAATGGAGGAAGTGACACGGCATGAAACTGCATTAGTGGCTCAGCACGTTGGCTTCAAAACAGTTTTCTTTTTAAGAAAGGTATAAACAAATAAGGTAACTCCTGGCTCCCAGTATGAGAGAGATGTGGAACTTCTAGAGAGGGACCAGTGTAGAGGAACAAAGATGATTAAGGGATTGGAGCATCTATTGTATGAGGAAGGACTAAGAGAGCTGGGCCTGTTTAGTCTGGAGAAGATTGAGAGGAGATCTGATGAATATGTACAGATACCTGAGGGGAAAATGTAGGCAGGATGGGGCCAAACTCTTCTCAGTGGTGGCCAGTGACATGACAAGGGGTAATGGGTATAAATTGAAACACAGGAACTCCCATCTCCATTTGAGGGAGAACTTCTTCACTGCGAGGGTGACAGAACACTGGAACAGGCTGCCCAAAGAGGTTGTGGAGTCTCCTTCTCTGGAGATCTTCCAAACCTGCCTGGATGCCACTCTGTGCCCCATGCTCTAAGTGTCCCTGCTGGAGCAGGGGGGTTGGACTAGATGATCTCTAGAGGTCCCTTCCAACCTCAAAGATTCTGTGATTCTGTGAATTCAGCACCCTATGGCTTACCTGGAGTTTCTGCTGGGATTTCCCATGGGAAGAGCCAGGCTTGCGTGTGGGGAGCTGACTGCTTTTGGTACCTGCTCGCTCACCGACGTTGCTAAGAGGTGCTTTCTTTTGAAGGTACATCTATGTTGCAGATGTCATGGATTCTTCGGTCCATGTTCTGGAAAAACACTCTGACTGGAACCTCACCCGCGTGAAGGTGAGGTGCTGCGGCTCCAGCGAGGAGGCCGGACGCAGGGGTGGCGGAGGCCAGCGGAGGTGTGAGGCCGCCACGGGGCAGATCCTGGAGCGGGACATGGCGGGATGGAGGCAGAGAGGGTTCGGAGAAGAGGAGCTGTAGCCCTGGTGGGGGGAATAATGAGAACCAGTTCTTCACTCAAGGTTTTGTGAGATGAGAGTTTTGGATAAGTCTACTGATAATGTCTTAAAATTAGAGTGTTAAAATGAGCTTCCAGGGCTGCTGATAGCTTTAGCTTTTCTGTTTTTGTTTTGCTTTTCCTCCCTGTTGGGTAGATGCTGCAGCTGGACACGCTACCTGATAACTTATTTGTTGACCCTCACACTGGAGACATCTGGACAGGATGTCATCCCAATGGGATGAAGCTGATCCACTACAATCCTGAAGATCCTCCTGCCTCTGAGGTGTGTTTGGGGAGACGTTACTAGTCTTTTGGATCTGTCTGTGCCAGAAAATTGCTGTGTTCAACTTATTCTGGCATAACATAAGTGGGGTCTGAGCTGCTTTGGTGAAAGCAAAGACCTCCCTGTCTTCCAGCTTACAGCTTCTGGTCTCACATGGAAAACCTGAGTAATGCATACCCAGCTAACAACCTCCTATGCAGGTACTTAGGAGACAACTACGTAGTTTCCATTTAGCCCTTCAGCCCTTGTGGGCTCCTGAGGCTGCTTTCTGTGCAGCTGTGGCTGCACAGTCAGGTTTTGATGCACAGTGCTAATTACTGAGCCAGCACCTCTCCGCAAAGCAAAAACATCCCCTGAGTGCAAAGCAAGACCAGAAAAGTCTCACTGTGGAGAGTTAGTTGTGCAAGTGCAGCTCAGTTGTAGCTGACACTGTAATTCTATTTTCCTTGGGAACCAGGGAGGTAGTTGCAGCGCAGCGCTAACTCTTGAGCGTGCAGGTGGCAGGTTGGTGTCCATTCAGTTTTAGTGTTCTGGTGAGCTTTCCACAAGGCACTTGCCAAAATGATCATGTTTAGTGGCACTTTGTATTATTTCTGACATCAGGCAATTGTTTACTCTCTCTGGAAAATGTAAGAAAACAAGTAAAGATTAGGCAACTCCTAGGCTGGAGAAACCGCACATTCCTAAAGCTGGGATGACTGCCTTAGCTGGACACATTGGCTATTGCAGGAATCCTTTAGAACTGCCACTCGCCTCAGCAGACGTGTTTCCCTCCCGCTGCAGGTGCTGCGTATCCAGGACATCCTGTCGGAGCAGCCGACGGTGACGCGCGTCTACGCGGACAGCGGCTCCGTGCTGCAGGGCAGCTCGGCGGCAGCGCACTACGAGGGGAGGCTGCTCGTGGGCACCGTGTTTCACAGAGCGCTCTACTGCGAGCTATAGCCCGGCCCGGCAGCTCGGCGCCCGCCGAAAGGATTTCATTCAATTCTGTGCGAACTCAGTGTAGTTTCTGCTCAATTTGCTACTCACAGGATGCTTCCAATAATGCTTAACCAGAGTCATTCTCAAGCATTTTAGGTTTCCTCTCCAAAAGGGAAATGAAAGTTTTATGCAATAGTAAAGGCCCTGGAATTTAAGGTGAGACATTAGCGTTTCTCTCCATAAGGTGGATGGCCCTATGTCAGTGAGGGGGTGTAAGAGTAAGCTTGAAATTCAGATTGTGATTACGAATAGCTGATACTGTCAGACCTGGAATTTTACCTATTGTGACTGGATTTCTGTTTCTTTTCTTGAAGAATTTTGATTTTTTTACATGAGAATTACTAACTAATGTCTGAAGCACTTTGCTGTCACCGATCCTTGGGCTTTCCTAGGGATTGTGCCAGGGGCCCTTTTGCTGAACCTTCCTGCAAGCCTCTCTCAACACTTCAGGAAACAGTGGAAGGAGAATTAATGTTATTTCAGCCCCAGTGATTTTCTCTTTTAAAGACATTAAAATAGCTTACATTTAACACTTACATTTAAAACACTATAGCTGCTTTTTCATTTTCATTCTATTGAGGAAAGAGGGAATCTCATTTTTGGAATGGTTTCCTAATGATTCTCCCAAAGGGAGTCTAAAAAGCCTTTTTCCTTGATGGGTGAGCCACAAACCCTGGATCTGTCAGTGAAAAGCACCCGAGCAGCCAGTGTACTGCTTGTTGCAGCGAAGGGGACGTTCATGGGCGCTTGGCTGCAGCGACTCTCTCTGCGTGCGGCTCGTGCCCGTTGGGCGTTCAGCTTTCCCAGGGAATGGAGCTGCTCACAGCGGTTCCTGTGCAGAGCGTGTCCCCCTCACCCGTGTGCACAGGGAGGCACCGGCAGCATTTTGTTGTGCGCTGCAGAAAGACCTGTCCAGGCTCCCATCAAGTGTTACTTCTGGAGCGGTGTCAGCATCCCTTCCTTCCAATAAACTGAGCTCTGTCCAACGCAGCCCACGTCTTGCTCCCTGCCCCGCGAGGCTCTGGCGACAGGGCCAGCTCACGCTTTCTGCCAACCATGGCGTGGAATGAGCCATCAAACCCTTCCCCTGGCCCTGCAGAGCTCTCCCCGATCACGGCCTTTTGTCCCGGCCTTTTGCTGCCCTTTGCTTTCGGACTAGCTGTTCCAGCAGGGCCTCAGGAATGCAGTTTACAGCAACCCTGGCTTTGCTGCTTCTTCCCTGGCAACTTCCCTCCTTCCAGCACTTTTCTCCAACTTCCCTGGGAAGCCGTGAGCTTTCCTGGAGGAAGCTGCAGTCCATTTGCAGTCCTGAGGAACACGCATCATTCTCAGAGCTCCATCAGGAAATAAATAGGCTAACATGGTCCTGAAGGAAGTTCTCAAGATACGGGTAGGTTGCAGTATTCATTTACTGGTGATCAGCTATAAAGCTCATGGGGTAGCGTTTCTTGAAAATTATTTTAGGCTTTGACATGACTTGTTCTGAAATAAAGCATCATGCTCTGGAGAGTGAACGTTTTAGAGCAGGGGTAGTGAGCTAAAGCACTGACTGGTTTACTTTGTGGTCGTGAAGGGTAATATCAGTGTTTGCCTCACTATATTGCTAAAAGTAACGGAAATTAAAGTATCATTGCTAAAAATAACAGATGGAAAACTAATTTCACGTTTTTCTGTAACCAAAACCTTTTCAGATGAGTAAATCTACAAGATGTTGGGTTTTATCAAACTCTTTCCACTTTTTTTAATTGTTTCTGGCCATTCAGAAAATAAAGAATGTGTCCACTTGTTACCGACTTTGCTTTTTTTTTTTTAAAAAAAATACTATTTTCAAAGCATTAATGAAAGCATTCCCTGTGGCCTCCTAAACCAAACTGCAGGTATCCGATGATGGTCACCAGCAACACGGTGTAGCAAGCAGAGATGGCGCCAGCCCTTTTTGTGGATTTAATTACAAACTTGCCTTGTCTGAGGGGTCGAGGATCCTTTCACCCTCTACCCTCTCCCCTCTCGCAGGTGATGCCAACATTGTAACATTTATGATGCCGCTGTAGTCTGGGTTAAGGATGTTTCCCATCCAGCTTAAAGGCAGACTATATTTGGCCTAGATTTTGCCAGATGTAAATCCACTCCTATAACTAGACAAATTGGAGTCTGGGCCTTTTGCTGCTTCGTAATTTATATAGACTGCTAATCTATACTTGAATATAAAATAACGAAATGTTCTACATATCAAAACTGATGCAGCTCAGAAAAAAATGGACTAACAGCAGTGTGAAGGTAGCCTGTTTTTACATGGTCATAACAAACCACTGCAAATTAGATTTTATTCCTTCATTAAGAAAACAGCCATTCTCCTTCCTTGCTGTTGTTTTTTTTATTTCTTTTTACATAATAATAGATTGTAAATGGGATTCAATGTGAGGCCTTTGTATCACACAATTTTCCCTAAGAGCTGGGATTAAAACATCTTCAGCACCAAGCAGAAGGACGGAGTGGGCAAGGCCCTGACATGCACAGGAGCAGCTCCTCAGCCCTGCTGATAATTTAGTGTCACTTCTGCAACGACCAGCGAGTGAGTAGGACAGTGAGGACTCGAGACAAATTCTAATAAAGATTCAGGATTTCTCATTTTATTGCATTCGTTGTCTAACAACAATAATACTCATTGGCAAGAAATTTATTTACACTAACAAATTAACTTTAAACCACAAGGCTTTCGTTGTTTGTATTTAAACTGTAAGAAAACAAAGGGCCACCATGTTTTTATTTATTTTGATGCCTCCAGATAACTAAATATCAAAGAATGTTGTTTTTGGGGAAAACTCAACAACCTAGAGAAGTTCATATTAACCAAGCACAAGAGAACAAGCTCAGACATGGCACTACTGGGTCTTCCATGCAGATGATCAGACAGCAAGATGTACAAACAAAAACTCCAGAATAACATGCATTTCATTTACATTTGATCTCTTAAAAAAAAGAAAAAAGAAAAAAGAAGCGCAACGACCTCCTCCTATTATATAGAAAGATACGACGCCAGTTTTTACAGAGAGCACAGTGCATTTAAGTCTTTTAGCTGCCTGATGTTCTAGCAGTATGTGCAACACTTCTCAGCTACCAGTGAGTTACAGGACTGGCAAACACACACGCGGTAGGCAGGGCAGCAGATGTGCAAGGGGAGGTGCACATGGCTAGAAGGGAGGTTCCCTGCGCATTCCCCATCTTCAAAGGACCTGTTCATTCCTTGCGGTTGGTGCCCTGCGCTCCCTGCTGCCTTTGGACTATCCATCCAGGGCCTGAGGCTGCTCTGCTGGTGTCACCATCCGGCTGGGACTCATCTCCTGAGCTGCTGCCCTCATCTCCCCAGGCTGCAGAAAGCCCCTTCCCAACTCAAACTTCAGTTTTCGTAAACCAAATGATCAGTTCCCAAGAGTCCAAGCTTCCAAATAAAGAGGCAGCACCCAGCACTAAAGCCAAATCTTCCATGAGGGCACACCTTGAGCCACTGCCAAGTGCCTATAGCAAAAGCACCAGCCCCAGTGCCGGTTATGAGGAGGGATTGGAGGGCTCAATATCGTAGCTGTGGTGTCATAGCTTTGAAAAATCACATGGTTTCACAGATGGAAAATGAACAGAATAAAATACATACAGGAGGTTAACCACAAGGACTGTGCAACTTGGAAATGACCTACGGTCAACTGTGATCACTGGGTAGGTCACTCCAGACACCACTTACAACCCTGCTCAGTAATGAGCTGCTTAAAACACTCCAACAGAAATCAAATCTTGGTTTACAAAACATATAAACATTGTTTTTTCCTAAAATACTAACACGCTGGTAAACCAACCCTGCCAAAAAAACAGAGAGGACAAACATGCAGAAAAGACACACAGAAGACAATTCTGTCTATGGTTTTAACAAAACTTTGAAATCCTCTACTCTGTCAAACACATACGACACGCCAAGAGAGCGGTGAGCAGAGCCGTGCGCGCGGCGAGCGCAGCTGCTCGCGCTTCGCTCTCCCGAGCTCCTGCGTGGGATCAGCCCCCTTGGAGGTGGATGGGGATCAGGTGCCTTCTGCTCCGAAACGTGCAGTTACCCACATACTCGCTGCTACTAATCTCAGTGTAATCCCAACAGTGTAAATGTGGGTGAAAATCTCTGCATGTACATCTGTATGTACACACACCAGGCCTACACATTCGTTTAAAGAAGAACCAAGCCACAGGCCCCACCACTTAAACATTTTCCTCTCCAGAAAGATTGATTTATTTCATTATTCTCAATCACTAATTGAACAAAACTAACCCAAAACCATCTAACTGCTTTGTGCACTTGGTCCATTTCAACTGTTAAAGACTTACAAGTTAATTAATCAAACATGTGTCTACCTTTTTCCAACATCTATTTTTATCAGTGTTTTGGACCAGAGCAGAGGTTTCCTGAGGTTTTCATGCGAGGCAGAGCCCAGGCTGAGGGCAGCACTGCTGAGGGGGCCCAGCCCCTCTATCCCTCACCTTGCTGATACTGCAGGGCAAGAAGCTGCCCCTGAAAAAAGCAACTTCGGGTTTTGCTTTCTCTTTGACAGGACAGTAAATGTAAAAACATTGGCATTACAATACATACGCTCTGTAAATACACTATTAAGAAATTAACACATTACTTTTCATTTTTGCAAGCCTTCCTTAACTGCAGCAGTAACAAACAGTACGGGCTGCACTGCAGAGTTTTAAAGAACGACAGCTGTATATGTGAACAGTTTTTCTGATTTTCATGTTGCATCCAGAACGGTACTTCTTGGCCAGACACAGTTAATGATCACCCTTCTCCTTCCTACAACAGTGCTGGATTCTGCACTACCGAAAGTGGGATTTCTTTCACGGACTTCAAGTGGAAACCAATTCATCCTCAAAGATCAGTATGCAGCATTGCGCACCTCTACCCAACCGTGTGGGAGGCTGAAGGAGCTCGAGAGGTTGTGGCTGCTCTGATGCAGCTGAAGTATCTGGACCCCACGTTGCTCAGGGTCAAGCACTTCTGAACGTCAGGGAGAGTCAAGGGCTGGCAAGCTACCGAGGAAGTAATTCCTGTGCAGTAATTCCTGCAAAAACTTAGCTCTTGTTGCATCCCTGCAGCTGGCTATAGTCATGGCACAACGGGTATCTTTGCAAAAAAAAAAAAAAAAAAAGGAAAAAGACCACTAAAGTATCACATTGTGATACGAACCTTACCTAGCTCTCTGTTCAGCACTTTCCTACGGGCTTTTTGTCCATCCCAAGAGGCTCAGCTTACCATGACTCCTGCCAGAGCAGCTCAGATGGGTGGCTGCGATATTTGCACCCCTGGGCAACACTCATGTCTGTGCTGGGCAGGCCGGGCCCCCTCAGCAACGCTAATGTGCTCTGTGCTGGGCAGACTGGGCCCCCTCAGCGACGCTGATGGGCTCTGCACCGCACAGGCCGGGCCCTCTCAGCAACGCTGATGGGCTCTGCACCAGGCAGGCTGGGCCCCCTCAGCGACACTGACGGGCTCTGCGCCCAACAGGCCAGGCCCCCTCAGCGACGCTGATAGGCTCTGCACCGCACAGGCCAGGCCCCCTCAGCAACGCCGATGGGCTCTGCGCCCAACAGGCCGGGCCCCCTCAGCGACACTGACGGGCTCTGTGCCCAACAGGCCGGGCCCCCTCAGCGACGCCGATGGGCTCTGCACCGCACAGGCCGGGCTCCTCGCACCCTGTCCCAACCTGCCTGGGCACCCTGAAGCCCAAGCAGGAGCTTTGCTGCTCGGGTGGGATGGCTGCAGGCACTCAGGATAATGTCTGGGTAATGGTATGTTTAGCAGATTTGGACAGAGGAAAGAGCCACCACTCTCTTTAGAAGCTCAGCGCAAACACTGGCTTTTTTTAGGGCTGAAGTAACCACCGATGTTGCATCTCTTATTTTATCTCTTTCCAAAGTCCTATTTACTATTAGCTCCCCTTTCTTCACTGCAACTTATCTCTTCACCTTGCCATAAATGGGACAAATGTATGTACACACAGCACTAACTCAACCATGGGAGCAGAAGGACAAGTTACAAAACTGTCTCCCAACTGCAATGGCAGAAGCTGACAGTGCCAGCCAGCTAGGATGGCTGAGGCACACAGCCGGCACATGGACATGGTCAGAGGAAGGGCAACACCGAGCTGCCTCCACAGGGGTTTAAAGGTGGCCACATCAGCCAGCAACTGCTTTAGCTCAAAAAATAAAGGTGAAGAAGTAGCTTACAGTTACATCTGCATGTGAGCTCCAGTCATTTAGCATGGGGTTGTTTGTTTCTTCTCTTTACACAGAAATACACATTGGTTTGACTGAGCATTTTCCTGGGAAATTTTAAGTTGAGAATGATGAGAGACATCTCATATAGGTAATTTCAGAATGTAAGGGGAAAAAATGCAACTCAACTTTAAAAATCTTATGGAACTTACTGTCTTAAATGTCTTAAAGACCATTAAGATCTTAAAGGTCTTAAACTACACTGTTCTTACAACTGTAATCCAGGGACATTTCTGTGTGTCCCCAAACTGAGTTGCTATATTTAACAAAAAGAACCACATAAATCTCTTTTAAAACTCCTGACATTGCTTGGTTTTCTCTGTTTTCAGCTGTTAATCGATACGCATTTTATGCTTTTATTTTAAATCTAAGTTGCTGTTTTAAGTCAGATTTTAAAACAGAATAACAAAGCAATATTACTACTTATTAGTAAAAAAAAACCCTGATTACTTGAAGAATTTAGTCCAATTAGTTATTCTGCAGAATAAGAACATGATTTACAAAGAGATTAAGCAGGCACTGTTCTAAGCAGCAAGAAAAAAACTCAGTGTTCAATGCAAGCAGTCTGCTAAAGTGTCTAAGAAAATGAAAAAAAACAAAACGGGACACTTCCTTAGATTACTATATACAGCCACTTAAAACATTATTGTAATGTAAACATAACTTAAAGAGAAAATCATCAGTGAATGCATGTATCAACTTTGCATTTAAAATATTAAATTTCCAGTTTCTTCCAGATAATTTCTCTTACTTGTATATAAATTTATAAGCTCCTAAAATAACTGAATGCTAGTTTCATAGAGCTTCTATTACTCATTTGTATATTTTTTCTCCTACAAAGAGTGCAGAAAGATTCACTTCAATATGCAATTATCACTTACAGATATATATTTTTTGTCACTTGTTTCTTTATCTCAAGAAAAAAATATTACAAGTCTTCATAAATATCAGGAAGTATCTTTTACCAGAACTTTATATATGAATAAAGTATACATCAGAACTTTGTAGAAATTGGATGTGGAAGGAAAAACAAGCTAATGCTAAGTAACTGGGTTGTGTGTTAGTTTTAAATGTACTAGGTTCTATCAGTTTACACATCATTTTACATGTCAAAGAAACTATTACGATTGAACTGAAAACCTAATATTCCATACTACAAAATTCAACTGCAAATATTGCACCCCAACTGTCTCAAATCTCTGAGCCCCAGAGAGCTTTACAGACAAAAATCTGAATGTCAAAGTGCAGAACAGAAGCCAAGCCCAAACAAAACAAAGATTTGCTTTAAAATAATTCAATATTTTGAATACATTTTTAGGCTGTCCATTTTTTGAGTTCAAGTTTCTGACTTTGCATCAACAGCTTAAATAATGTATGTGTTAGCATGACCGACGAGATGGAGTCTGCAACTTCCAGAATGCAGGAAGTGATGTTTTTAAACTACGAGTGCTGCTACAGAGCTTTCTTTGACTATAAAGCGATACAGTAAAACATTTAAATTTGTACTGTGGATACTTGCCTGCTGTCTTTCCATTCTTTTGAAGCAACTCTGAATTTTTGAATACTCTTAAGAGTATTCTTTGAATACTCTTCCAGATACTTTATCTTCAGGTACTATATCTTCATATAGTGCAAAATATACTGTTTGGGTCTGTCATAGTCAAAACCTACAAACCAGCTTCATCTATGGACTCATATACACCAGAAACCAGGAATCTCTCAAGCATGTAACACAGCACTAGTTAGATCATCCAAACATTCTACATTCTGTGCCTAAAAACTGATTTTTTTGGTGGGGCTAAACACTAATCATAACATAGAATATTTGGCAGCTTTGGATTTAGTAACCTTCACCTCCATGGTAGCATTGGTCTTAATAGCAATGTCCTGAATTTTATTTAACCAGAATCCCTCTTCTCCCTCTTCTTAAAGTGCACTTCTTTAAAAACTGAAAAGTCTTTAACAGACTCAAGTTTGATAAACGTTTCCACTGACAACTTCATAATAGCACAGCACAAAGCTTGTTCTCCCAGTGCTTACAGGAGAACGAATCTGAAGATGTGGTGCTTTCCTTGAAAAAACAGAGCAAAACAAATTCAGTTTCCTGTTCAAAATACATGATAAAGCAAGCAGTGTGCTATAAGAAAGTTACCTACACACACTGGGAGCGCACTGAAATTTATACAGATCTGTATGCTGTGCTCTAGATAGAAATTCATCCTTGCTCAGATATCTAAAGGATAAATGTTATCCTCAGATTTCTGTGTAAACCCACATAATCGTTTAAGGCTTTGCCTCCTTCCTGGATTAAACAACTGTACAGTTAGCAGAAAGAGGTTTGTCTCCTGTCTTTTACCAAGGGGCAATATTGACCCACTTGTCTTTAACTCCAGTGTATAATAAGAAGTCACCGAGCAGTTGCATTTCCAGAGCAGTGTCACTTCAAGGTACTGAAACTTATTCCAGTAGGCCGAACTGAGTATCAAAACACTGCAAAGAAGCTGAAATTCCAGTTAGAAAGTTGTCAGCTCTATTGGAGGGAGAACAGCTCCTTCTACTCAGCTGAATGAAAGTCCCCAGTTGTCCTGGCTGGTCACCCAGCTCGGCACACGTGAAGCAGGACTGTGCTCCTCAGCATCTCGCTGGCTTCTGAAGAGACCCAACACACAGCGCTCAACAGAGGAGAGTAGTTTGGAAGGAAACAGTGCCACACAAGTATGAAATCTGTTAGCCATCAACAACAACAAAACAAATTGAGGGCCTGGGCTTGTTTAGCATGGCAACAATAACGAGCGTGAACTTAATATGCAGGAAAATAAAAACTACACAACATAAATTTCCCTACTCAATCTATTTATAGCCCCATTTCTGTGTACATACTCTCGTGTAGTGAATACAAGAAGGCTGGAGGGCACGTGTTTGGGCGAGAGTTTCTCTTCCCTGGATGTGCCTCCACACGAGGAACGCAGCAGTCCTGCTTGTCACTGCTCGTTAGTGCCCTCTGTTGCATCTGAGGGAGACTTGTCTGTTCTCTTTGATTTCCTTTGCAGCTGCTCTTGTTCCTTCTTCCTAAGCTTTTCCCTTTGCTTCTCCATTTTCTCTTGAGCTTTGCGAGCTTTCTCCATGGTTGTTTTCATTTCCTTCAGCTTCTTTTTAATGATTGCTCTGTCCTGGGAAGATGTCATACCAAGAGCCTGAGATGGAGAAAAACAAATATAAAAAAGAAGAACTAGTAATTCATATGCTTTAATCTATCGCCATTTTTTCTTATTCTAATAGTAACTCTTCCTAAGTAGAACACTATCACAACTAAGCAAACCTGAGATAAGCACAGACACATTACTGAAGTGCAAGTAACACTATTCTATACTCCTGTAGTACTGTCCGTATGTTCCACTTCTGGAATATGGAAGAATTTGATGTCATTCCAAGAAAAGTATGACTATGTTGGTTTCATTTATCAAATGTGGCATAGAAAGATGAACGATTTGCCTCAAGTCTTCTAAGTCTCTGCAGAAGAAGACTTCCCAATTCCCACTCATGTCCCGTAGTCAAAAATCTTTTTATTCTTGTAAAAATCCTGGAGTGAATGAAATGGTAAGCAAAAAATTTCAAAACAGAAGGGCTCCCAACTTGAAACAGCAGAATTTTGACTTTTAGATAAGCTGAATAGCCCACAACTCCTATCTGCAATTGTTTTTTTGAGAAATATTTCCACTGCAATAAATAGTATATACTTTATATATCAAAACTGTATCTAACATTGCACAACTGCTGTCCAACCTAAGCCTTTAGTATCACAGTAATCCATTCTTTAGTAGCTACTTCTGATGTATTTCTATTTACTATCTTGTGTGAATCACTCTTTTGTGAAACAGAGGTGGATGACATGTGCATGCAAATCCCACTTGTACATGCTGCTATTGGAGTAATGCATGGAAACGTGGACACACTATATATACCCATAGTTTTCACAAAGCAACTGCCCTCTGCTTCTGGACTTCTGAATCTAAATGCACATGGAAATGTACAAAGTGATGTTGTGACTATCAATCATCTACTTTGGGTTTATTATTCCAGTCTGTCATCATGCTATGCACAGGGCTTCTCTATTTTCTTGCACAAATCTTATTTCCTTTAAAATCTGAAGTGAAAATAAATAACACGTTTAGTCTCCAAGTCCAGACAGTCAATTACCTTGAGCTTACTCCCATCCAGTTGAAGGAGATGCTCCCCATTGATGTTTTGGGCACTGAATTCAGAAACATACTGCTCAAGGTTGAGGCTCATTAACCAGTGGGAAACCTGCTGCACGCTCCACTCCCGCACAGCGCGGTTCTGACACTGGCTGTGCTTAGGAGACTGTCCGTCGTCAAGGATCTGCGACAAAAAGACACTGTATTATTATTAAAGGGTAACATGGACTAGTGACAGCATTCGTCTGTACAAACCAACAGCCTCAGAGGTATCTGTGCCACCTTGACACTGTCATATTAACAATATTAACAACTTTGCACCATTGTATCACCTCTGTATCCATCCAATTTATCAAAGAGTTGGTACGAGGTACCTACACAGTCTTCTATTTATAAACATTTTTTTAAATGTATTTCTTCATTTATAAATAGAAGAAGAAAAAGGAATTGTCATTCCTTTCAGTGCAAACAGACTGAAATGGCTGTGTGGCGCAATTCCATACAGGTACGCTCCCATTCCCTCTTGATATTTTAGTCGTCCAAATTAGAACATTTCTAAAGGATGCAGGGAATTCTGCATTCACTTCTCAGGTGCATTCACAGAACTCTATGGCATGTTTAAGCTATTAAAACATTAAATTCAGGAAAAAAAATATAAAGCCCTCAGAAAACTATTCTAAAGCACCGAGTGATGACATAAAATAGTCAGTGAGGCTCATACTATCTGTGGAAGACTGAGACAACACAGAGAAATGGTCAAGAGAACACAGAGACCCCCAGCCCTGGCCCTGTTCTGAACACACTGTGCTGCCGAGGGAGCTGCAGAAAGCAGCACCAGGCCCGGGTGTCCTCTCTGCTGCACACAGGGCTTTGCAGCGGGGCCCCCAACAGCAGCCCCTTCGTTCAGCCCTGGGCGGCGAGGGAAGGCGTGAGAACAGCCTTGTGCTGCTTGAAATGATGCTGGGAGCTACTGAGGCTCCTGGCTGTCCATTGCTCAGAGAGCCCCACGCGGCCCTCTCTTCTCCTTCTCTTAAAGCCAGCATGAGCTTGGCCCAGCTGACGCTCGGCCTTGGGGATTTGGTCTGAAATGGGCCCTTCTCGCCCTCCAAAACGCCACAGAAAATGCGATTTGCTCTGGCTTGAAAGCTCTTAGCAGAAAGGAAAGGAGAACTGAAGACAGGGCGAGGGGAGGCAGTGACATCTGCACATTGTGCTTGAACAGGGGGATCTGCCACGTAGCACGGTAAAACAAGAAATGCAGATCTGCAAATGAGACAACACGTTGCCACACCATGGCTGCACAATTCACCACAAACAGCTCTCTGGTATCTCACCTCATCATCAATCATATCCAGGCTCTGAGTGAGGGAGCAACAAAGAAATGGGAAAGAAAAGCATTATAGAAACAAATATAGAACATGTAACAGCATGTAAGAGTTCAGGCAAAGGCAGCACCAAGATTTGCAAACGGATACGACTACTTAAAAACAGAGAGATTTATTTAAAAAAAAATATTTCCAAAAGCAGAGAGGTTATGTTGAAAGCTCAACACACACATGATTTGGCAGATAAGCCTGAGATTGTGCCAAAGAAAACCCTTGGAGTTCCTGGCCTTGACAGGCTGGAATCAATGGGAACTTTGCTGATGGCTCCAAATGCAAGTGCAGAACTCCCTTAATTAGAGGAGTACGAAGCCCAGGCACTGGGCTCCCTCCCCACCCTTTCCTTGTCATTCTTTTGTGTCTTTCAAGTAATTATGTCAGATCTGCCAAGCAGTGGAAATGAGGGAGCAGTGCTTGTAGCAGCCCATTACCAATGGTTAAAGAGCAATCCTAGTTTAACAGCCCCTCCTTGTACAGGCAGTGTTTAGATTTCCACATGCAGCTCTTATGGACAAGCTGCCTCAATCAGAGGCTGCAGAGGACAGGAAAAACACATTTACTTTTGTAGACCTGTTCAGACTTGGTATTTTGGAACCTAAAAAGTAGAAGGTTGAACAAACAAGAGGGAAGCATTTCCAAACTTTTAGTTCAACACCACTAGAAACAGGGCATTGTCACACTAAAATACGTAATACAATGGGAATGAAAAAGGATAAGAGATTGAAATGGGTTATCAAGATATTAATACTAAATAAATGATCACTTTTAAAAAATAATTCAAACAATATACAGACTCCTGCCTACTACTGTATTATGGTTTTTGTAAATGTCTGTTATTATCTGCAGGGAATAATCTCTGTTGGCCTTCTAGACTTGCATTTTGGTAAAAAGAGTTGCACAGAGCAGCTGTCTTTATTTAAACCTATGCAAAGCATATAGGCAGCAACAGCAACAAACCTAAATGTTACTAGAAAACAAAAACGAAAGGGTATTTCAAGTTCTTCCTGCGTAGAAAAAAAAAAGCTCACCCAAACTGTAAGTGAAAAACATTCTTAATTCAGGGCTTGCAGGAGAACAGAGACACAAGTTTCCTGAGTCAGCGGGACACAGTATCAGCTATTTGTCAAATTTAGCAACTTCACTGACAGTTCAGCTACAAAGTTACTATTTTAGAGATATATTTTCAAAATATAATATATATAATTCAATATATAATTGAACTACAATTCAATTCTGTCACCAATTTATAGAATTGTGAAGCCTTTTGCCACTGTAACCACTGCTCAAATAAAAACCTTTTTTCAAAGAGCTGAATTCAGACCACTGTCTGAATAGGCAAAGCAAGCCCAAAGAGAATGGAAAGTGGATTAGTGCATAAATATTCCAATCACTATATATATTTCAGGTGTGGTAATATACGAAAAAAGCATGCACAGGTTATTATCATTTTTATATACAGAAGAAAAAATAAGTTTATGTGAAGGGGCCTTGCATTTCAACAACAGGTAGCCAACTATATTGTATTTTTATTATCTCAAAATCATCTGTTATGCTATTTTAGTGTATACGTACACAGATTCACATGTAAATATTTAAAAAGTAGGAAGTGTGTTTTGAAATGTGTGAGGAGATGTGGTTTGTAACTTGTAGCAAACCAAAAGCTTTTTGATTTCCTATGATAATACCATAGCACCTTTATTGCAATTGATTATTACATGAAGAAAAACCATAGTCCCCCATTACAGGTTTTTCTCCCATTCTATTGCTCGAGCAGTCCCCCCTCCTTTTATTATTTGAGTAATTATTAAGAAAAAAATGGCATGAGAGAAAGAAAACTATTTCCCACCTTAAACAATTTCATGGGCATACCTCATCTGATGACAGTGCTAAGGAGTGTGAGAAACCTGGGGGTTTGGGTTCTGCTCCTAAACCACTCAAATCAGCCGAACTCGTGCTGCTAGGACTGAAGTCATCATTGAATGTGAAATTCTGTAGAGAAAAAGATTAGTTAGAACAAACAAATGATCTCGGATGTGTATCTAAATGGAAAATTTGCTTTTTGCCCTCCAGGTGGGCACGTTGAGGAGCACTTTCAATCATTCAGAAAACAGACGAAGCCTCATCTTTAGTATTGTTAATCATTTACAGAATATGCAATATTTTTACCTCTATATGCAATATTTTTACCACTACCTATTTTATGACACATCTTTCTCAGCATAATGTCTCAGTAAATAGCCAAAGTTTTTATGAACAATTTCCAGAGTTCCCTTACAGATGTTGGCTATCATCACGGTGCTAAATTATTGCTTCTGCTGCTTAATCAATAGCCTTTGGCTGCTCTTCACATACTTAGGAAAAGCACAGACACACAGGAGCACAAAGACTAGGACAGAGGATTAATCATCAGGGAGAAGGTAAAACTACTACTGAAAGAACAAGGAGAATATCCTGTGAATCCATTTTCTGAGTTCCAGATAACCTCCTAGAAAAATGAATCTCTGCTTATCTATACCTTCAGAAAAAAAATGAATTGAAATTAAAAGAGGTCTTGTGATATCAAATATTATTTACTGAAACAAAAACCATAAAACAAACACTATTTTGCCTTATGCATGTAATGACAAATATCACACTTCATAACAAAGAATTGTGAAAGCATGCACATTTTTTCTAGGAATAAAGTGAAATCACCGTCAGAAAAATACAAAAATTAACAAGTATTTTCCATTAGAGAGAAACAGTCTGATCTGAGAACAGCAACAAAAAAGAACACCATAATATTCTATTTAAATGGAAAATATAGTTTATATACACCTCTACCCTCTCCTGAGACCCCTAGTGTCTATTTTAATCTAGCACCTAGTTGAACAGCAAGTTCAATTCACTTCTGATACTCAATTTTAAAAAATGGATCTAAACACCATACTATTCAAAAGTAAAAATAAATTTTTTAAAAAATACTGGTTTTATAATTTTATCCTCTGAGAGATATCTGAGCTCTCTTCTGAAAACAAGAACACCAAGTCTTGATTTCCTTGGTTTTGATGGAAATCCCACTGAAAAGTGGTATCACACTGTGCTTTAAAAACCTAAATCACAGTACAGATACTGCTAGCTTAAGAGCTTACAGCCTTTACAGAGAACATCAAAAAGCTCTTCTGCTCAGTTTTCTCGCATCTACTTTCAGAATTACTGTTCTGCTTTTCCCATTTCTTTGCAGAAGACTAGGACACCTGAGCAGCTTTCCTTATAAGTAAACTTTAGCCTCCACAGGATTTGTAAGCAAGGAGCTTTACAGTTCAACTTCCTACAGATGTAAATCTCCTTTTTTTTTTTTTTTTTTTAAGTACTCCTACTGTTCTTTCATCTTGTGTAAGCATCGGTCTTGAATCTAAAATTTCTGTGGAAAAAAAATGAGAATACCAAGACCTGCTAAAAATAATGATAGAATAGAACAAAGAAGAACAAAACACCTTATCATCCTAATAATAACTGTAAGAGGGTTGATTTAGACTGGTCAACCTTGTGTTGCTCTTCCTAGCACATAACACAGTATCATTTTTTCCTCATACCACAACTCCAATCTTGCAGAGTTCACTGGTGCTACAGAAGCAAGATGCTTAGAGTTTATGGCACCAAAAGCATAATAAATGCCCGAGAAAATGGCTATTACATATATACTAGTGTTTGTGTGTTTGTACACACACACATACATATATATATATATATAAACTGCTATTATGCTATATATTATATGCATACAGAAGGAGAGATCAGATTTCTGAGTATCACTCAAACTGGTGAATATAAGCACAGAACCATTTCTGTTTCTTTTCCAGAGTGATATAAAGTGTAAGTTGCTAGAAGCTATAAGAGGATACAGGCAGATAAATATTTTACAGAAGTGAAAATAAACACATAAAAAGCTAAGCATATTATTATATCAAAGGGTTATTTTATGAGTTACATGCTGGAACATTCATGCACAAAGGAGGGAATCACATAGAAATATTAAATTGTAGTAGTTCATCTTTTTAGTTCAAGGATCTTCATATATGGAATTAGGTCCAACATCTAGCATGCACAACAAGCAGATTTCATTACTGGGGGAGAAAAAGGCAAATGACTGACAGCATACAACGTTTCTTCACTTGCAAACATCTCATCTATAGAATAAACATGGGTAGGTATGCAGTCCGGGAGGAAGCAGAAAAATATCTACAACTGAATACACAAATCTAGCATTTGTTCTGTGCATCCAAATGCTAATTTCCACTGGCACTGCTTGCTTTTGGTACACTACAACACACCACAGCTACTTTACTGAATTAATGTACATTAAGAGAAAGACAGGGTCTAAAGGTAGGATGTGGAATGGTACAGTGACAGAGACATGCTGTCCACATGAGCGTTTGCTGCACAATGAACACCATGCGCTGTTTATTGCTGTATTAACATATTGGCCTTATCTTTCTCCAGAAACATTAAGCCAATTATGCCAGTCAACACCATGGGAATAAGGTAGTTTTTATTGTCTACCTTTGCCCCTTTTTTAGCTGGACTTAAATTTTCAGAAGAAGGTTCAGTGGAGCTGGTAGGTGATGGCAGGTTGCTAGAAGAATTGGACCCCTTGCTACTCTCTCCATACCGTGTGAATGGTACACGGTGTGGGAGAGAGGAGGATCGCTCTGGGAAAGATTTACTGTTTGCTGATTTCTGCAGCATCTCTCTGGTGGCCCTGTTTAAAAGAAAGGAGTAGGAATTTATGTTAGAGAATAAAATAACATTTTTAAGAGGTCAACAGTGACATTCTGTGTAACCGTGACTAAAGAACACAACGTTGCGGGGCTGGTAATGATATTCTTGAAATCTTTTTCAACAACTGAAGAAAAACGGTTGATTCTCGGTTTGTTTAAACTCAGGCTCTCTCAGGTGACACCTACCCAAAAAAGAGAGACAAAAATCAGCTCGCAAGGCCTGTGTTCCCTGTGCTTGCATCCGAGCCAGCCCCGGAGCCGCGCAGCTGCGCTGGTGCCTTTCGGAGCCGCAGGGGCACCTCAGCCCCACCACACAGCCAGAGCCAGCACCCACCCAGGCACATTCTGCTTTCCACACAGCTCTGGCTTGGACTGGAGCACAGGCAGAATGAGCTGTGCACCTGTAGGCTGTAGCCTTGTACATTTGTAGACCATCTATGCAGACAGTCCTTTGATATAACACATAAATACTGATAGAGAGCTTGATTGTAACCTGAATATAGAAGAAAAAAAAAGAAGGAAATGCCCATGCAATATTACCAGCTTTTCTCTTTGTAATAATAAATATTGCAGTGGACAATGTGATAAAGGAAAACCTACCAGTTAAAAAATAAAATGCCTGAATTATTAGGTAAGTATTTCTATCATGATGACCATATGTATGTTAACTAAAAATAACTTGTCAAAGCACCTGTCCCAAAAAATCACATTATTTAACAAATTTATTTATTTAATCTGTATCTGACAGATACTCAGCCTAGGACTTCAACAAGCCATACTTCTCTCATACGTATAAACAATTTTGCAGATGATTTTACACTTGTCATCATTCAAATCCCGCTTATATCCTAAGGTTGAGTCTAAGCTGCTTGGAGAAGTCCGTTTGAAAACATGAAACTCCAGATGCACTCCTAACACTTGCAAAGCACCTATAACTATTGTAAAATGAAACTCCTCAGTGCTCTGGACAGTAGACTAGTGGTGAAGCAGTTTTAACATGGGAAAAAATATTTATTCCATCCCACCTTCAACTTTCCATCCAAGTATGAATGAAACTTAGGTTATCATTGGGCGCCCAACCAAGGAAATAGGATAAGAATCCTCTCTCCTCTTGGCTGCACAAAGAAAGGTCTATCTGACTCAAACCCATATTCCTCTCCCATGCTCAGATCTTGCTGAAAGTAGGGAAAAAAAAGCCACCCAAAAAACTTGTCTCCATGCACAGGAATATATGCTTTCTAATCTGACAACATGATTAATACTACATCAATCAGTCTCTATAATGAACATAAAAATTGTAACAGGTTGCTGTGTTTGATCATTATCTTCCTTCTTTCAAAGAGCTTATTCAGCTTTGGGCTGCACAGAAAGCATCCTCACATTTCTGCAGAGGCAAATTATTTGGATTAAGTAACAAAGGAAACGACAGCTGGTCTTTAAAAAGTTATACTGCAGAATTCACACTCCAGTTTACAGAGGCAGAGGGAAAATTACAAATACTTATTAGTTCTGAGGTTGGAAAGAGTATTAAACTTTGTTTTCAATATCTATATCCAAACTCAGAACAGATTTGTTGAGAAAATGAAAAGCCATCAAACAAATAATACAAATCACTTATTCATTGCATGGTCAAGTAAGTAACTGTTGTTTCTGCTCTGAGATATGCTTTTCTTCTGTGAAAGATACAGACACATGTGAAGCCCAGTAGACAACATAGTAACTATGCTGGTATAAGAACATATCAAGTTTCATAGGGTCTGCTTCTCACAAAGAAGCCTATATTCCTATTTTCCTCTCTGTATCTTTAAATGTTATGGTATTTAAATGCTATGTGGGAGGACTAAGGACACAAGCTGCCTTAGAGATACATGTAAGTGTCGAAAACTTGTTTTTACAAATCTCTTTCTTCAAGGGAAAACAGCAATGAATACTGCTAATTACAAGGCACATGATAAGCCGAAACACCAACGGCCCAAGCTGATCCCCTGTCACACAGCCCAGCACAGAGGTGACTAACACGCTTTAGGGATTTTGCCAGGTATTTGCAGGATACTAGTGTACACCGAGGTCACACTGTCATTCAGCACAGGGTGCCCGAAGGGCTAAGGCAGAAGTCAGGCTTCTGCTTCTCTGGTTTTAAGGAACTACGTATGATAGTTGCCACTCTGGGTCTAGGTACCAGAACGCAAGACTGCACAGATCGCTTCACGCTGGTTTTCAACCAGTTCCAATCAAGTTTTGCTTACTTTAATTGCTCTTTTATGGTGTAGTTTTTCTTTTGCCTTATTTTATGTTCAGAGAGCTTTGAAGTTGTTATGTCCTTTTGAGACTCACTTGAATGTATCATGTTTGCTTAGCATTTCTGGTATTTAACTGATTGCTTGTCTTTTGAATCTGAAACAAGATCACACCTCCCTGAGCTGGGATTCTGTTGGATTTGCAATATATGGGGACAGTCCTTCACTAAAAATCTACACGGGCTGCTGCAGAAAAGACTGCTGTCTGCCATTTTCAGTGTTCATCTATCTATTTAGAGACCTGATGCAGGAGCTGCTGTCTCATCAGATCTCACAAGCAACTCACAATTCTTTTCCTGGATGCTGGTGACCTGGCCAATCCAGCGAGCATTTTCCTGGTATTCTTTCAATTTATGATATTCTGTTTTTTCAGAAACAAACCCTTCTGAGTGGATTTCTGAAGTAGGTACAGCAAAATTGCAGTGAAGGCCTCCTACCCATCCGCACACTGGGGGCTTTCATCAAAACTGTGTGGAATTGTGTTAAGATATCTGGACCAAGGGACTTATTAACTGGTCTACATGTGCATCTTGTAGGCCAGCTCTAATAACCTACTTCTGCAGATCCCATCAGTGGACACAACAGTAGCACTGGCACTGCATATGATAAGCCTTCAAGTATTTCTAGATTATATATTAGCATTCTGTTTGTTAAAAAGAAATAAGTTTGCAAGATCAGAAGCTGGTCTCAAAACTTAAAGAAGGACTGTTCTTTAATTCATAAGGGCTGCTAATGTTTTCATCTGCTAGGATTCAGTTTTTTCCCATCTTTTTGGCACAACATTTCTTGTATATTCAATCTTTTACTCATACCTACTGCCACAGGTGACCCTAAGAGCTTCTTTCTCCTTCCACTTCTTTCCCTTGTTTGAACTCCTTCTCAAGGGAGCCCTACAACAATATCAGAAAACATCAGAAAGAGCCTCTGAAATTGTACTTTCAATTCCTCTTAATTAAAAAATATATTTTAAATAACAAGATGCTTACCCAAGATCTGCAAGTTTTCGCTTTAGCTTTTCTGCCTGCCCCATAGTAGGCCTAGTTGTTCTTATTGCCTGGGCACATGTGGCACCATCTAGGATATATTTGTACATGGGAGAATAGACATTATTATTTTTAATCGCTACTAACAGTTATTCCACCTTGCATCCAGAGTAGTTTAGCTGTTCATAACTAGACAAATATGCGTGTGTGTGAGTACATCACTTATTTGAGGTTTTGCCATTTTTACGAGGGTGTTGTGAAAATGAAACAAAATAAATAAAAAGTCTCAGATTTTGAAAATGCACATGTCGAAAGCTTACTTGAATTAACAAAAAAAACACACATTTATTTTGGCTGTGTTTTAGTGAGAAAATAATATCAGAGCAAGACAAATAATGTCAGAGTGAATCCACTTTTAAAAACAACAGTACGAGTTTATTTCTCTTTTATGGAACTTTTTTGGTACACATGCTTTACTGCAGAAATGTTTGTTGAAATCCATTTTGAACTTTAAGGAAGAGGTTAATTGTTACAGTGATGTGCTTAAATACCTTTATCAAAGTGAACATTTAAGTTGAATCCAACAAATTATATTAAAAAAAAAAGAAGTTAAATGTATCTTAGTTAATACATTTGCTCTGAGACTTCTGTCTATCTCTGGGCTTCGAGCTATACAGTCCTCCTTTAGGTATTCTGCTAAAACTTAAAGAGGAAACAGTCTGTATAACCTATAAAATTAAAATAATGAATCTGAGGATGCAAAACATCCTGTGAAAACTATAATGGAAGCCAGAAGAAAATACACTGAAGTCGAAAAATTCCAATGCAGTTTCTGTGATTCTTAAGTGTAAAAAGTGCCTCCAAACACGAGAAGCAAATAAAGGTCAGTCTTTATGTCACTAACAGTTTGGTGACTTTTACAATGTGACTTTTAACTGAAAGCTCAAAGCTACCCAAACCCACTCATTATGGAAAAGGCAGGAAAGTCTTTTATAACCTTCATACTCTAAAAGCCAAACTCCTTCTACTAACTGAAGTTACTACTTCAACCAAAAAAATAAAGCAATCAAGAAGAGGTGACACATAACTTCATGCCGAAAGCAGACAAAAACTCTGTGGGTAAAAAAAAAAATAAGACAAAGATTGATAAAAACAAGCCAAAATCTCTTGAGAAGAAATCCATTCCAAACAGAGGCTGAGGAGGGTTTTAGGCAGCGCATACTTTGCATCAATACTATCAGTTCGACAGTCTATACACGCCTCTTGCTACTCCTCAAAGATCTGCTCATGGTTCCTTCCTCTCTTATCTTTATCCTTTCCATTCAACTGCTGTCAAACTTGTCAGCTTCCAGTATAAAAGAGTGTGATGTTTATTTTCATATTAGTATTCACAGGCAAGCGGGGTACGGGGGCTTAGAGGGTGGTGTTGAGAAACATATCAACCAAAGTAAATTGAACTATAAAAGATACAGGGGTTGTAGTGGAAAAATAATAAAATCACTTAGCAGGTGTAGGTTTTGCTGCTGCCTTTGAGGAAATGACATGGAGAGCTAGTCCCAGCAGGGACGTATACTGGCTATAGCTTCTCTTCAGCCCCGATTTGCTGGGGAAAACAGTCACCCTGGCTAAGAGCTGAGGGGGATGGTGCATGGAGTAGGTTCCATAGGCAGCCGTGGAAGGGCAGGTCAGTTTGACCTAGAGGGACCAGCACATGCAGAGACCACCCTGCTCAGGCCACAGCAGCTCCCAGCAGGACACAAAACGGGGCCGCAGGTACCACCGGGACACGAGAGGCATCTGACCCTCCTCTGTGAGGGCATCTTGCCTGTCTCCCTGAAGGGCTCTAGAGAGGGGACTGAGAGCTGGTTCCTCAGATTCAATCACACAGTGGCCATTTAATCCATCGCAGGCAGCCACAAAGAGCTGGTGTAAGTGACCTGCAGCTGATGAACGCTAAAGGAAACTAGATCTAACTCTTTTTTCCCCCCAAAGTCACAACAGGACAAAACAGTTTAAATCTGCCACGTATCCATGGTCAACCCAGCTGCCTTATCAAAGCATGCTGTTGTGCAAAACTGCCAAAACTCAAAAAAAAATACACTAAAAAGATTAAAAAGTATTGCTTAAAAGGCAAACTAGCAAAATTCCCCACCATTTTGCAATGGAAGGAATTGATCTCATGCTCTTTCCACTCCTTCCACTGTCACTTTGGCTAACCAGAGCTATCCAGCCCACACAGATTCATCCACAAATGTGTTTTCTTTCTTGCTCTATAAAAAGCTTTCTAAACACACAAAACAAAATAAATACTCTTAGTCACTGGCCTTCTCTCTTTCTTGCACAGTAAGTTTGATTGATAGCCAAATTAATAATCTATTGAAACACCACCATTGTAATACTGGTTGCAAAACAACTGCTTGAGGTTATTTCTCTTTTGTAGAGCTTATTAAATTGTAAATTTTCCATTTGAAACTAAATTGCTGTACTTTAATTTTCATGTACTCATTAAAACCTGGATACACTCTAAAGCACTGGTTGTTTACATAATGGTCATGGTGGGAAGGCATGACACAGTTCATTTAGCTACAGATTTTTCAACCCCAAATTGCAGAAGAAAGAGCAGCACAATGGAAACAATACACTACCCTATTCTCTATGCTACAGGAACAAATATTCATCAATGTATTTCTCCTAGGTTGGATACAAATGCAGGATTTAGAACTTCACTAATGAACATTCATCACATATTGAAGTAAGAGCCTGGAAAGTTATGTCCTTATTTGTCCTTATTATGTCCTCCAGTTTGAAGTTGACTCATTAGCCATTGCACCAACAGACTGGCATTTCAGAATCCATGTAAAAATGCTAGCATATAAATTAATCTATTCTAAACCCAAGAAAACTTAATCTGATTTTGTAAGAATGGAAGCCTGTAGGAAGACAGGAAGAAATACCAGGTTGCAAATGAACTGCAAGCTTTTTCAGGTACACAAACAAACAAAAATCCTGAACAAATTGTTCTTTTTAGTTAATTAAGAACCACTCCATCCTTACTGCTAAGTCCTCACTTCTAAACATTTTTTGTTAGTGGTATTTTAGCCTGTGTCACAGTTAAAGAATGCCAGGTGCATATCAAGGAATGGTAAAACCATGTAGAACGCCAAGTTTGAATTCCCAAAATGGCAGAAAAGGAATGTTCAGACCCGTACTCCAGTGTTAACGCACCAAATAAACTAGTTCCTATTTAAAGAATCTGAGCTAAATGAATAGCAATGTGGTCACGTTTTCTAACAAGCCACTTGCAAAATATTATGTACAAATGATAAGTCCTCAGTCACTGATCTTTGCTTTAATCTAGACTATGATGTCTCTTAGCAACCAAAAGCTACAGAAAATCTGTGATTCTCGCTTTATGCTCCTTTCCCCACCCTCCAAAAAAAAGCATCGAGCAGTGCCAAAGTCACATAATTCAGGTAACTACAATGTATTAACCATGTTTTTAACAACAATAAGAAAATATCCCAAGGGGTAGTCTCGAGCACTCTAATTGAAATAAAACACCAGATGCTGAGGGTTTTTAATTATTAAGAAAAAGTCATTTAAGAATATTTTGTATTTTAAAATGGAAAAATTATTTTGTAAAAGAACTTCCTCCTGTCCTTTCTCATACCATCATATAAGGACAACTGTAACTTTCTGACTTCAAGGTACTTGAAGTAAGGCACGAGAAGATGTCCTTTTAGCTGCTAAGTCCTAATACACAGCATAAGTACACAAAGCAAATGTACATGAGCAAAACTATGCACCAATTTATTATAAAAAATAGTAATACCTTCATCTTGTAAAACATTCCCGCCAGCTGGGTGATGGAAAGACGACGCTTCAGAGCTGTGCGCAGATTGTGAAGGAGAGGGGAGAGGTGAGGGCCCCCAAACAAGAGGGGAAAAGGCACCTCCTTGGTGCTGCTGTCCTTCTTCTTGGTTCTCTGTTAGCTTGTCATATGTGAATGCTGCACTGCTAGCCACTGGGGAGAGGGAGGAAGCACCAGAATCTGATGCTGGTGAGGATGCTCTCACACATAAGGGCAGGGCTGTTTTGGAAATGTGCATGGGACTACTGTAACTGTCTGACGGCTGTTGGTATAAGAGATTATAAAGCAGGTTATGCCATTTAATAATCAGTAACAACAAGGTTTACATGGAATATGCAATCCTTTTCTTCATTATCCTTACCATTTTAAGAAACACTCTAGCAATTCACATTATTACCTTTCAATACCACACATTTTCTTTGCTTATTGGTATTTTTTTAAAGACCAAAGTCGGAATCAGACAATGAGTAAATGTTGTATCGATTGAATTAGCAAATAGTCAAATGCAGGCTTCAAGTTCCGTTCATCTCCTGCATATATAAAATGACCCACACTGCATCATAAAGCACACCGAAATCCAAAAGGCCACAATTCCTGTAAAAAAACAACAATAACCAAACCAAACAACACAGATATGCTGTGCTGACTCAGAGAAGAGTGGACGTGCACGTCACTCAAGGGCATTCACAGCACGCTGGCCACAGACGTGTAAATACTGCCTGTGCTACACTGAAAGGACAAAGACAGAGAATGAAAGGACTTACAGGCAATGCCACACTCCAAAAGAAGAGTAACGGAGAGGAAAGAGTCCTCCTCACCTTTCGTTCAAGGCTGTCCTCTCCATCAGTTGAACTGATACTGTCGTAGAGCCTCGTCCTAGTAGGCCTCTGACGCTTGTTCTTCACTGAAAGTTGGGCTCGAGTTTTCAGGGCTTTAGAGTCCAGTCTCTCTGTTTCGGGCACTGCTTCATTGAAATCTGTAGGAAAAGACAATTCAAAGCTATTTAGCATGAGAATCTTTTGGACTTAAGCTACTGTTCCTATGCTACTGCCTAAAACTGGAGTATATGCACTTTTTTATGTTTTATTTCCACCTATATCTTCAGAACTATTAAACTGCACATGCAAAAAAAAAAGCTAGTTATTTACATAAACAATTGGCAAGTTAATCTGTACAGATCCACAAAAAGCATAAAAATGATGAAAAATCAATGATCAACTCCAAATATTTAAAAATCCAGCAAAAAAAAAATCACATTGTAAGATGAAGGATCACATACACTCACACACACATACAAAAATAGTATCTCTTGTTGAATACAGGGAACTAACTTGGAAACTGAATACCCTTTGACTCTCTCTGACCTCCTTGTAAGTGCACAACCTATAGAAAATTCTCCTCCATCACAGCATATAGCGTAAGGAACAGATAAATCGCATTAAGTAAACTAAACCTTATCTTAATGCTCTTAAAAATGCATCATATAACATCTGGGTGAATGTACCAATTTATACTCAGTGAACCAATTCACCTGTCACACACTTTTATGTCTCCTGAAGGGGACAATTCGGACTGACTATTTTTCTCCCAGAGCTACCCCGCTAAGAAATTCCCCCTATAGTTTCACCAGCTTTGCAGGCTTCTGGTCGAGTTACAAGCAGTATCTATTGCAATCCTCTGGCTGCTCCTATCCAATATGGCTTAAAAATGTAAAGAACGTAACTGTTTCTCTCTTGTACTTAGTGTATTTTACCCCTCCCAAATAACCTTGCACAACACATACGAGCTATAATCAAGCCAATGTCTGCGGCCAGTAGAGTCATACTGTGAGTGTCTAAATAATCAGATAACCATTTGCAATTGGATTGACTTGTCAGCTGCCTGTCACGGGATTAGGAAACAAGTGCTAAAGTCGTTCCTTCAGGCCTATGGTGGAACAGCTTGATCCGTCTATTACGTTATCCCTCTCAGAAGGGGAAAGTGGAAAAGAATCCCATTCCTCCTCTGGATATTGAGAGCATCTGGTGTTCCAGGTTATATGCAACAATACAAATTAGGTGCTCCAATTGTTTGTCACCAAATAAAAGCATCTTTTTTTCTCTTTTTGGTATTTGTTCTTTCTTCCCTTACTGCATTGTCCTCAGAACCATTATCTACTCCTCTTGTAGATCCGTGTTTTATTCAGAGTACCTTCAAATTACTAAAAAAAGAAAAAAAATAGGCATTAATTTTTAAGTAAAACATCTCTCTGCACCAGCGAACATGGTCCCAACTACAAACAGAGTATTGACTGACCTAACACTAACACAGTCTTGTCTCATTTGCACTCAGATCACCTCACAAGACACTCTGCAAAGCACCCTATCCCAGCAGGAACCTAGAGGAAGTCATCATTACTGCAACTATCATCATCAGTTGCAGTTGTCTGGTTTCAGCTTTCCAACATGTTCTAGGAAAACACTGAGCAAGGTAAGATAACAGCTCTGAAGCAAGAACCTGAGACCTGAAACAAAATTTCACTGCAACGGTTAATGCAGTTACATTAAGTTTACCATGACAGTGAAAACAAAGTGAAATTAACCTGCCCAAGCAGTCCACAAAATGCACCCTGAACCACAGCAGCTCAAGAGTTAATGGCAAGGCCATGTGCTGTATCCGTACGAGACAGCGGGGGGCTCCGTGTGCCAGCTGATTAACTGGAACAACTGGAGAGCAGGACATGGACTGAGAGAGCCCTCATTACGCCCTTCCTCAAAGGCCCTTGGAAAGGTTTGCAGCAACAACAATCATCCCTCCAAGAAATAACAAAACAATCATCAGAGGAGCTCTGCGAAAGCTGGGAGATTTACTCTATTGCCCAACTTCTTTTTAAGTCTTTGTAAGTTCGTGTGCTTTCGGAACCTATGGGGTTTGTGCATGAGGTGATGTACTCTACTACAGCCAATTCAAAACATCAAACCGAAAAACACAGACAAGAATGTACAATATTCATGCACCATGAAAAAAGAGCCCAGCCTTGCCACTCATACCTAACCTGTTGTCTTTGTACATATACTTTTCCGCTAGAAAAATCAAGAAAACCTTTCTGCTAGCTTTTGAAGGAAGAGTAGTTTTAGATCCTTCCCCTTTCATCTATTGCCCAAACACCGTTATGTGAAATGCATGAAAACTGGAGAAATAAAACATATAAAAACCGGAACAATGAAACAATCTTATTTGCCTAGTTTCAAAGCTATTCTACTCAAGAACATCTTGTGAGTCAAGTATACTAGGCATAAGACTAGGCATAAGACTTTCCTCCACAAAAGAACCTAGCTTAACTGCAGTTTTCTCAGCTTGCTTTCCACTTGAATGAAACCTCAATTATTTCAGCAATTTTAACATTTTATGAAGATACAATGAGACAAAATACTTTTTAAAAAGGTGTTCTCTCATTTTATGCCAGTTAAAGAACAGATTCTTTATAGTTTCAATTTTAATTTTTGCAATCTTTAGAAGTAAAAACCAAAGGAATCGACCAGAACCCATTAGACTAACTTACTTGCCTAAGTACTGGACTCGTAATATACTAATGAAATGCACTCTTCTAATACGAATAGACACAGAAAGTAGTGTTTTTGTATGAAATTAGATTTAGATATATATGAAGCTCTAGAAAGAAACTCAGAGATTATGCATAGAGGGTTTTTTATTAAAGAATAGTGTATAAGATATAAATAAAATATAATGTAGTAATCTCATGTACATCATAAGGGACACACCTTCATTTAACACATTTACTCAGAGGCACTTAGATGTACACACTTAAGACTTGGTAAAGCCCGAATGAGATCTGAATAACAACCTCGTAATCTGAACCAAAATAAATTATTCATAACTTTTCAGTAGATCTTTTCACTTCCTACATTGGCTTCTATCGCACTAATTCTATGAAAAGTCAAGTTATATTCTAGCCGGACATGCTGTAGGCTGACCACCAAGAGAACATTCATCTCATAGTAATCATCTTCTTACCTCTATTTTAACAAGACAAGTGAAAAATTCTGGTTGCCTCTCCGAGAGATTTCAAAATGTTTTACAGAACTTCATCTGTGCTGAATGAACTAGAATATGGGATGATTCTACTGCTCCTGATTAGAAATTAGAAGCTGATCTTGTTACAGACAGTTTTCCCTAACAAATGCAAAAACAAAAACAAACAAATAAAAAGATAAAGGGAGGCATCATAGCCTCACTGAAGCCAATGGAAAATTTCCTAGAACTTCAGGAAAGTGGAAAAAATTCCCATTGCTTTCTACAGCATCCTGACCTTTCAGTGTTACAGAATGCTATTCTACCAAGGGCAGAAATAACTCAGTGATTTATTCCAACTGCCAAACAGGAGAGATCCTGCTCTTCCTTCTGCTGCCAAAACCCCTGGCTCTGTCACCCCGCCTAGGGCTTAGATTGCAGCTTTTCTCAGTTTCAGTTTGATGCTCCGACTTCTTTCCTTTCTAGGTCTATCTTTTGCTGTTCTCATGAATCAGATGAGTTCACAGAAGTGTGTGGCAAGTGCTAGAACAGTGCAAGGTAAAGAGACAGAACTATGTAGCTATATATAGGGAGGCATGGTGCAGGGTCTTCCTATTGCAAGCGCGAGCCATCAGATCAGCTCAAACTTCTGAAATCTCTGCCACAGATTGAGTTAGCAAGCCATGAAATAACCGAAGGGTAAGACATGGCTTCAAACTCATTTTTCTTCTTACAGATGGATGTTCTCTTCCTATGGTACTGCAAGACTTCCAGTAACATGTTTCGCTTCCCTTCTCTGTTTAAGAGTTAAAATCCTTATAGAGATGACACTACAAACCACTAGCACCGTGTGACTTGTAATCATGTCCCCTCTGTCGGCATTCAATAAGACAAGTGCACATCGTCATGCCTTCCACTGCTTGGATTCATTTTTTCGACTGCGCACACTTCCATATATCCCTTCATTTGAGCAAACTCTGGATGTGGTACTGCAAGTGTTCCTCCACCTGAGTGCTTGTACTAGCCTTGTTGAGGCCGGCAAACTTTCAGGGCCTGGTGCTTGCCCCTTCCTCCCCACGGGAGTTGGGGCTCAGTGGCAACTCTCTGATGCAGTGCAGGGCCCTCATCTTGGGTCAGCATGCTGTCAAAAAAGCCGAGTAAGCAGCAGGAGAAGCCTCTCCCTCTTTTCTCTTCAGATCAGCATTTAAACTGGGTTCTTACCCTCGGTCTGATCTCCCAACTTGCTACAAGGGAGCTGGCTGGTATCCTGGAACCTGACCAGCAGACTGGTTTCCCAGCTCAACCCCAGAGCTGCCCCATAGCTGCACTATGAACTGGGCTACCGGTTTGGACACTCAGGCGACCCTGTTTTCCATCGCTGGAGCTGCCCTGCTTGCTGTGCTTGGGGGAGACCAGGCCCTTGCTGGTGAGGCCTCTACTGCTAGGCCATGGTGCCACCCTGGGGACCCTGCTCCTCCTCTGTGCCTGGCAGCCGACCTTCGCTGTTCTCTGATGCTAACACAAGAGCATCTCCCTAGGCATCTCCCAAGCCGCTGGGGAGCCTCATAAACTGCTCACATAAAACTTCTAACAGGTTAAATTCTGTCACAGAGACAATTTAATTAGACTTTCTTTCAGCAGGCCTGGAAACACTTCACTCTCAAGGGCTTCTGTCTGAATTATTTTAGTACCTCTGCAGAGCTGGAACAGCTCGCCTATTCTCCCACTGTTTTTCCATTAGACACTAATGGATTTCAAAACCTTCCTGTGTGAACTGATGCATGTCTGGGTATCCCAAGACACTCAGAGGGCATAAGCATCAAAATGGCTTTATTGGGCACCTGTGCAGAAGTAAGCAAATAGCATCTAATTCAGCACCAGCTCTAAACCGTGTGGATTTCAAGTCATTGAATACTCCCAGCTCTTCTGTAAAGATGCGTAGTTCTTTACTTCAGACTCACTGCCATGGCTCATGACCAACAGCAGGAAGCTACAGTGCACTTTTCTATTTTTCTGGCATCTAAGAATAACTCAAAAACTTGTAACAAGCACACAAGGCATGGGCTTCTAGTATCGTAAGAAAACACAAAGATACAATTTGGTGGGCCTTAATGGTTTTGATTTTCTCTCTGTAACTTCCACTGCTGTCACTGGCAGCCTGTCAATATGAGGTTATGCTGCAACAGGACTGAGGAGCCATGTGGTGGAACACAATGTTCAACACGGCCAGACCACCTACGGCGGCACAGAGAGCTATGCTGGTATGTCAAGCCGCATACGTTACTACTACCACACAAGACTATAACACCTCAATTCACAGTGAGGCAAAAAACATGTTTAGTGTCATTTTAATTAACAGTACACATAAAATATATATTTTTGCATATCTATTTCTTTGTGAAGAAACAGACCTGCAAATTATGGAGTAAAAATTATAGGATGTGGATCCTATAAGCAGTCCCATCCCACAGACCTAATACTGAGGCTCAATGAAAAGTGTGTCACAGTCTTAGAATAAAAAATCAAAAGAGGTGCAGAAGACAGGCACCACATACTGCACACCAAGACCTGCTCACCATCCAAAGACACCGGGGGGATTTCTTTGCCCTTCTCAGGTCCTTCTGAGCACATGCACAGGCTGATTAGTAACTACCTGCATTATTAGACAATGTTAAGGCCTTTTCTTAGAAGGTTTACACAGGAATGGCGATAGAGAATTAAGCTCTTTCTTTCATCAAGTCTGAACAGAAATAAGTTGTTTCATCAAGTCTGATGAAAGAACACAGGTAAAGCACACTACATGTTCAGAGAGTATTTTAAAAAGGGGCTTTTCTTTTTCTCCCATTGAGAATTCAAATTCAGACTGGAATCCTAGATTTAACACGTTTCTTCTGCTTTCAAAATATTATTGATGATTATGTAGAAAAACTGTTCATTTTCTCTGTCTGTAAGAATGCTGCTTAAACTTGAACATTTAAATTTGCAGATAATACATTACTCTTTAGAAGTCCTGGACACTGGGCAGTGTTTTTCCAAAGGAACCAATGAAGAAAGGAAATTCTTTCAATATCAATTGAAAAAAAAATTTAAACTACTTTCACACTGAGTTTAATATTTTACAAAGCACATTCTTGAATTCTTTATATTTAGAAATTCCCTTTAAATTATAATACGAAGAAGTAAATACTGAATGAAATGCTGTAGTCTTATTTAAAGACAATGTTTCAGTGAATCCCCAAAAGGGATACATGGTGGGGGTGTCTTAGAATGGATTTTAGCTCTTTATTCTCAATATACTACAGCACTTTTAAAACGGTAATTGCGAACATCATTTTTGTCAGGCAGATAACCAGAACACACCTCACTTTCCTGATGTAAATTACTGTAATCAATTCTATAAAGTGTTGGTAAATTATAAATATTTTTGTAACACTTATTGAGTCTCTAGGGTAGAAATGCAGACTTTATTGTCGCAAAGAGTACTTTCCAAAACCTTAGAGCTTTCAGTAAATAAACATTTGCTAGAAGGAAAGCTCTGTGGAGATCTGTGAAAACTAACTCCATGAGGTCTGCGCATCACACAGCTACAGCTTCAGCAGAACAAGCTCTTTTCTATGTACATATTATGTTAAAAATGTAATTCATATTGATTTGTTTGTAGAGCAATATTCAGTTTGCATCCATATATGAAATAACTCTTAAAACATCAATGTTAATACAACATCTCTGCCTGCTAGAAATCAATTTATCTGGTAATGTAATGCATAATTTTACATTACAGAAATAAATAATATTATAGTTTATTTAAAATGGAAATCTGTATAGGAACAGTCTGGTGTTCCTTTGTCATAAGCTAGATATGCAATAAGTATTGTGCCTGCCACAAACAATTTTAATCCAAGACTATGAGCCTAAAATCAGCTTTGATTCTACATATACCTCATCTGTGAGGAACCACTTATGATTAGATAGTTTAAAACTCTAACTAAAGTTATGGAAGCTGTTAGTATATTTTCCTTGGCACAGCCTGGATAATGGAAATGACCCTTCACATGCAAACCAAGTAAAGGTTATATTTATCCTGCTATCAGAATCTATCCAAATCTCACAAATTGTAGTTTCGCCTACTTATCCTATGACACAGAAATTTACTCATATAATTTACCACCCCTTTATCTTACACTTCTCCTTTCCAATTCCATCCCTTTTTGCATATGAGTTCCCTTCCTTCGTAAACACATAGATAAACACTGTTAAGAAACTTTGTTTTTTTAAGTTTGCTGAATTTTAGAAGTAATATCTATGAAATTGTAAGAAAGGTACATAACTACAACTAGAAATATGACTTTTCATCAACATGAAGTAAACCACAGAACAGAGCAATTTAACCGATAGGCTAGGAAAAAAAAAAAAAAAACCCACAACACAGAACCACCAATTTTATCCTAGCAATTATTATTTTCATTGCAATGATGCAATCACCAACAATGAATATCTGTATTCAACATGCACTCACTGTAAGTTAAGAAAAAGATAGTTCACTAGAGAAATAAGCAACATGGAAAAGAGCAAAAGCACATTCAAGCACATGGCTTGAATAAAAAGTATTTACATTTCATGATGTTCTTCAAATATACAAAACAAAATCAGGAAAACAGTAATTGAGAGAAAAAAAGAGTATCTCAAAGGTCTGAAAATCAATTGTAACTCACCATTATGGTTAACTGTTCAAATATGTCCATCTAATTTTATAATTCAGGTGCAGTTTATACACATAGTTCACTCATGTTGTTTACTATTAATAATATGCAGAAACACAGTAAGACTCATACACTGATGTACAAATTCACACATGCTCTTGCACACACGCAGTCTTCTACATTGGTACTTTGATAGTTCCAATGCAGATATATACGTATAACTTATTTCTCTTAATATATCCGATACATGCAAAATGGGAGATTTAATATTGTTTTTCTCATTCAGATAATTCTGTTCTTGTCTGATCTTTGGTGGTTGGGTAATTAAGGACAGATGTAGGAACACAGGAGAAAATAACAATTTTCTCCCACTTCATTAACATAAGAGAACCATCAAATTGGACCTCAATGTTGACAGTATCCCACTGAAATTCATTTAAGATTTAAGAAATCAATACTGATCTTTGTTTTATTAGCAAACATTAGTCAATTCCACTTCATAAAGGATATACACTGTGCAACTGTTTTAGGACTCAATATTGTAATTATTTGTATACCACTGGTAGAACTACCATGAGATATTGAACTTCGGAAAAAAACAAACAAACAAATAATTTTCCTTAAATCCTAAATTATAACGATATTATTAAAACACACATTAACAGGAGTTATGGGCTGGTTCAAACAAACCTTGACTTAAGCCATCCAGACAGGACACCTGCTTAGTATCTAGATTTTCCACTGGATCTCCTCTAGAAACTTCTCCAAAAGATGTCTGCCTTTCAAAAATGTTGTTGTTGTTGTTAACCTGGCTCCCATTTTGCTTCAATAGCCTGAAAACTTCTGCTTCCAAGTCTCGTATCTAAAAGAAATATAATCCATTATTATCCGTAGCTTACATACAAACATCTATAAAATCTGTTTTTCTTTCCAGATTATGAGACAAACTTATCTTATTCTTCAAGCATTTGAGTAAATACTACTCACACGAGTTTGCAAGCCTTGAACCTCTGCCAGATGTTCTTTCTCCAAATCTTCTATTTTCTTTCGTTCAGCTTCCTGGCGTTTAATGAAGTCAAGTTCTCTTAGGGAAAAAGACATATTTGCTGTTATCAGAACAGTCAGGTTCAAACAGAAAATACACTGTTCTGATACATTTTATCTTAAAATATGCATGAGAAAATTATGCAGTTAACATATTTCACTATTAACCTGAAAATGAGTAATAAATTGCAAATAGGACAAAACCCATTTACATATCAGTCTAAGTGAATGTGGTATAGGAAAACAATAATGGAAACTTAGTGAAAAAGACACGGGTCTCAGTTGCTCTAGCTGTTAATTAGAACTGTTAAACTGAACTTAATTTTTCATAATTTGTATTTCCAATGGAAGCAACATTTGCTCAGTTTATGCTGAGTTTGCTGGGGGAGATGGGATGGAACCTCTGTTTTACAAGACTATGACTGTAGACTTTCATTGCAAGGACGTACGTCATTTTCTAGTAGGCTAGAAGGAAATCTGTTGGGCGATTTTAGAAGACTGAAGCAGTTAAAAATGATTGACTAGATCTTTCACATATATAAATTAGAATAGCAATAGAAAAACTATGCAGGCTCATTCTAGCGAGGGATTTTCTTTTTGCTTTGAAACCCTAAGAGGTTTGTGATGGAATTTCATGACTGCTCCAGAAGTAGCTGGCATTTCATGTGCTTTCTAAGATGGCTAATGACTTGTTGACTAAAATGTAAAAATCTAAAATCTTTACTCTCTTTTTAGTGGAACAGGATATTCACTTCTGCTTTCCCAGCTGACACTTGACATTGCTGTATGTTTTGGAGAAATGAGTTTTCTTCTCTAAATGACTGTATTTACGTAGTATTAAAAAAACAAACAAACAAACAAAAACTACAAAATAAACTCCGGGTAATGGAAGCTGTTATAGAAATGTTGGATATTATTATTCTTGCTAGCCATCAGGGAGAGGGGACCACATGAAACAGAGGGGACCAGGTAATCATCGATTAGCTCAACTCAGCTCAAACATTCTTGGCATCTATGAGAAGATGAAAAATAAAATGCAAAAGTGTATGAACACAATTTGTTTTTTCATGGTACATTAGTACGCAGCAGGAGTGAATCCAGCTAATAAAACATTACTACAAATTGATGCTAGCAAGTCTGAAATATTCTGACATGGAATTTTATAGATTAATTCTTCATTTAGTTACAGTATTATTTTTCAACATTGTTTTTCAACTAGCACTTGAACGATACAAACATTTTTATGTAATAAAGAACCCAGGGGTTCTCATGATAAGAGTGACAAATATTGTTTACATTACAAGCCTTTAACAACCAGTTTCATACTTCAAAATATATTACACATATGTTTTCTATCTGGCCACTAACTCATTTGCTAAGTCTGATGTAGCTGCTTACTTTTGCTGAAAATCCTTGATTAATTTCTTTGCCTTGTTATATTTCTTCTCCAGAGCCTGATACTGGCTTTGCGTCTCCTTGAGGTGCTCATTCACAGTGTGACACAAAGTTTGTGCCTCAATCCAGTAACTCTCTAATTTCATCATCCTTTCCTTATTCTCCTCAATGTTCTGTTGGAGTTGGGTCTTCTCCACTTCCCACCTCACTTTCTCGTTCTCAGCAGCCTGTAGCTGCACAAAATAATAGAAATGCCTGTCAGTTAAGGGTGAAAAGTACAGCTTAATAGTTTAGAGTGAAGTCAGTCAACATGAACAGTGACAAATTAATGAATTAATAAATACAAAACTAATGTGCTAGCAATGAAAAGAGAAATCCAAAACAAGAAGAACAGGCTGACTTTCATGTTATTTTGTGTCAAAATGAGGCAGAACTTTTGCTCTGTGTTGCAGTGCAGTTTCTAAGCTTCTTAGGGATATACTAACATGCTTTCAAAATTTCTGTAGTGGACTGCTTAGGCAAACTGCTGGGTTAATCAGTCATCACTAGGAGTGTGTTTACTCCATGTATCTGGCCGAGGTGATACAAAACATCCATAAATTTTCATAAAAATAGATTTTTTGGGGGCGTGCAAACTGTTCCGGTTTCTATATTTGATTGAAGACCAACAGTTTAGAACATGAGAGAAAAAAGCTAACTGCATCCAGTCTAATTCAGTTTCCCCAAATCAGATTTTATTTGAACTCTTACAGTGCCTATTTTCATGTCATAATCTTTCTTAATCTAGAAATCGAAACAAAATAGGTTGGGAGAACAATGTAAAGCTTAACATCAAGTCGTAATCCAGAATCATTTATTTATTTATTTTCATTTAAGCAAGCACAGAGAGTTTAAATCCAACACTGCAACTATTCTAGAACTATTAGGAGTAAAAAGAGAACCTATTTTACATGTACTACTGTCGTTTTATTTAAACTTGCTTACCAAGTTGTAAGTCATTGCTATTAAAGAAAAATATGCCCTTGCTGCTGTAGGCTTCTGCCCTTTTGGGTGCTGATTCTACAGAACATATCACCACTACCTCACTTCATAACCAGTGCAGTTCCACTGCTTTGTTAGCCCCCTCACAGTGCCCAACTGAAGCCAGCTGCAGGTTTGAATGTTTGGCTGGATATACTACATATTTCATTTCCCAGAATTTACGAAAGGAAACCAGGCCTTCCACATCCGTGTTTACTCAGCAACACTATTTAACTTGCTCTGGGCCAGTTCTGCTGCTATCATGAATGATACATGTGCAAAAAGAGTAACTTGTTTGCAGTTTTAGTGGTAATTTACCTACACTAGCCATATTTTCTTTGGCTCTATTCAAAAGGACAGGTAAAGAGCTGCAACACAGAGGCTCAATAGCCCTAATCTTGCAAATGGATTTGCACAGCTGAGCGTTTACACCCACACATCACTGCCATGAAGTCAACGGGGCTGGGACAACCCTAATGGATTAACCATGCAGCTCTGACTGACAGACTGCAACCAGAAACTAGAAGGGAGAAAAGATTTCTGACTTCCTAAACTGAAACAGTTCAACAGAAATTGTCATTACAGAAAACAGCTGCATTATGAATTTGTTTTTAACAGTAATATATGCAGTTTTGATAAACACTAAGTAAAATATATGGTGAGTGCAAATGGTTGCTAGAAAGAAATAACCAGCCAAATTCATTTCTGAAGTAAAGATTTCTCTGGCTTCCTTTTTTTTTTTCCTTCTGTAAATTGCCCGAACTCAAAGAGAAGGATGTTGTTATAAAGCCTAACATTACTCAACAACCGAGCTATCAGTTGAACTCCCCATAAAGGTTATCCTACTATGAAAAAGTACAGTTTCTTTTTTTTGCCATAGCCAATTGAACCTAATATCTGGCAACCAATTTTGAGAAAATGTTTTCTGTTAAATATTTTCCTTTCTAGAGTATCTTTTAGGGAGAACAGTACAGTCCTATATTGGTACAGTCTTTCTTTTCCTGTGAAGAAAAAGTAATTTCTATTAAACATCTTTTAATAAATTAATTCTTAAAAAGAGAAAAATGCAAAAAAACCACCCACCCAAATAGAAAATTATCCAGATAGATGCAAATATTCCATCAAAATATAATTTTTAAAACTGCAAAGTTTTAAAACTGAGAAAATTACTGAAAATTGTAAAACTAGAAATCTGCCACTTAGTTGTTATATTATCCTTTAAAATGCATGTTTAAATGAAGGTATACAAGTTGGCAGCTTCTTTTAGTAATTAAGCAATTTAGATTTTATTGAAACTTTGAATAGAGGATATATACTAAGACATGATTTAGCTGAGCCACTGTGTTTTTTTAATCTTTAATACGGACACTGACTTCTCCACCCACATAAAGATACATGTCTTCAGATCTGATTTTGTATGAGGGAGAGAAGATAAAAAAACAGTGTGTATTAACTGCATATTGATCCTTACCTTCGTCTTCAGCTTCTGAATTTCAGCTTCTGTAACTGCATGTTTGATTTGCAACTAAAATTGAAAATATAAAATAAACAAGTGAAGTCACAGGGAGTACTCCAGTATTTTTAAAGCCAGTGCTGCAAGTTGAATACCTTATTACACAGCAGAAGGCCCTGAAGAGTGCTGCAGTGCAGTAGATTGTAAATTAAAATGTCTAGCTTGCAAAATGACTCAGTCTGTGTGCAACCTAATTAAAGATAGGATGCCGCCCAACCACTCATCATTCCAAATCAGAACATCCAATCTGTTCAGCAAAACCAAATGCCTTATGTTAAAAAAAGGAAAAAAAAAAAAGAAAAAAAAAGGGGGAAAAAAAGATGCTCTCCTGCTGGGCTTTGTTCTCCTCTGAAGAGTGAATATGAAATATATCTTCAATGCTATCAGAAAGACCCACTGCATTGACTAAAGTAGACATTTAACAAAAGAGCAAATCCAGAAATAAGTGATTCAACAAATTGAGAAGCCAGGAAAACCCTGAAGGGAAGATTCCACATGTTTACTGCATGCAAGATGAGTGTTAAAACTGATTTCATTATTATCCACCATTAGTTTGAATTATTCCATTCAAGATAGCTAATCTCAAGAGAAAGCAGTACACGGGGAAACTGTAAAAAACAAGAAGCATCTTTCAAGCACACAAAATGACTGCATGTAGATGCTGATGCCTTGCGCTAAAGGTTGTATTTACACTGCCAAGCACTGTGCCACAGTAAGAGGGGGTCTGTACCGGGAAACAGCTGGTACCAAGGAGCCGACATCCACACAGGCACCTTCTGGGGAGGAGGGACTGTCTTTTGGACTTAGTTTAGTGTGATCCTACGTCACGAATGCCCTTAGCTGTTGAGGAGGGCACCCTCCTGCAACATCCTCAAACTTAGTTGCATGCTAAAGGATCACAGTTTATCTGAATACAAATCAAAACTCAGCTTAGAAATGCTCGTGTCGACGTGACCCAACATGGGTTTACACCTAAATTCCTTCTGCTTTTCTGTTTAAAGCCGTTAGCATGGACAAGTTTACAGACAGAACAAAATCTTATTTCGAAAGCACTGTTTAATCTGAATCAATGGCTTGTGTGTGTTGGATAAGGAGTGAGGGCAAAGGTAAAACCTGATAGTTTGAGATAACACTGCAGTGAAGACAAAGCCCTAGTCTATTATTTATGAACACCAGGAATAGTTATGGAAAAGCATGTTTTACATGATGGTTATTTCTCTTACAAGGATGACTGGAGCCTTTGAGAATAGCTTATGTTGAGCTAATGGAGTACATCGGGGAATTGTACTGAATCAGAAAGTAATATCCCAGTAAAGCAACGGCTACTTTCTTTCAGACCAGGCTTTTAGATAAAAAAGTACAAACAATTCAAAACAGAAGTTCTTTATTTGGAAGAATGGTTTTAAAAATAGGAGCTATCACAGTGCTGGTCAGTGTAAGTAGGTAACTCTGAGAAAGGGCCAAGCTACTTCTCAATTCCATTTTCCATTTCAGATGACCTCTCGGACACATTTCTTGTAACAGCGCAAAAAATATGCACTGTTAAATACACTTTGATTTGCAGATCAACCTAATTACCTTTGTTAATTGACCTAATGAATAATTCTAGTCTCTTTTGGTTGAAAATTACTCAATTTATGCTGGAAGGAATGAGGCACACAGTTCCACCTGAGGAATGCTCTGCTTTCCACTGCTCATTTGTTGGTTACTGGCTCCAGATGAGACTCAGGAACTGAATGCAAGTGCTTCCAGTTCACACAGTCCTCAGCAGCTGCTTGAAGTCACCTTTTGACATTGCACTGAAAAGTACTCCAAATGTTCTTATGCTCAGTGAGAGCAGATATGAGGTTTAATTTTAAATGAAACCAGTCGCTGGCTATAAAGCTTGCGGAACACATGAAATATGGAGGCACATTTGACCTACTACCAAGTATAACAACTCTGTTATCAAGTGAACCCTTGATCTGCAGTTTTCAGGGACTCTCTTTTTTTTAAATAATTCAAATTCTGCTAATAATGAAAGACAATGAGGAACAATTCTGAAAGAGCCACCTAAAAATTATAGAATGCTCAGACTTAATGCTTTGCTTATCTCATCTGCTTTGTTCATTGTCTTGACGTGAGGCAAAATCAGGGGGAAGATGAATGATTGACTGTGCCCTCTGCAGAGTTCATACTGTAACCGAAAGGCCATAACAAGGCTTCAGGGGTTACCTGGTTTCCACCTCTTCTAAAAATCCCATAAACCAGGAAGCAACATTTAAATAGTTTATTATGACATAGCAAGCTCCAAATTGTTGCATAAATGGCAATCTGCTCAGGTACAGATGGTCTTAACAGCTACTTTTATACTCTCTGCTATTAAATTAAAAAAAAATATCTGAATAGTGAGCATGCAGTCAGATCACTGAATCAGCACATAGCACCGCAGATCCTACGAAGGCAGAAGAAAACCTCACCTTCCTGTCAAACAGATGCATGTGAGGCTGGAAATCAATTTTCTCCTTTTTAAAAAACAAACAAACAAAAAAAAAACAAACCAAAAAACTAACCCTGCTGGCAGTATAGATGGGAAATAGGCATTTCTGGGTTAACACTGAGAAAGGAGTAAGGGGGATGATTTGGCAAGTAAATCTGTACTCCACAGTTCAAATTTTTAAGCAACTTTTCTGATAAGGAAACATGAATACCGCATTCCATGTCTTATGAAATGCCAGACAAATTCTTGGCAAATATTTTATATAAATATTTCTTTCTCTTTTGGTAAGTTTTTAAAGTCAGCATAATGATAGATTCATTTTAACAAAAGATATTTTGAATGATATTTAGCATACTGCCTTTTCTAAGATGTCTTGAAAGGTTGATCAATTTTTCTTCAAAATAATACAACCTCTATTTTTAAATAAGATAGAGAGAGAAAACAGATTGAATTTATCTAAGACTGCAAGAGGCAGAATGGGATGAAAAGCTGGCAATAGCTAAACATCTGGAGTAAAATGGGAAAGAAATTACCCAAAAGAATCTAATAACGCTAATGGTATTTTTTATATATATAATCATTATACAATCTTACTTATAATAATGCATCTTTCATAGATTTCATTGAAATATGTGAAATATAATACCTATCTCATAAGATACTCCCTCTTCCTACAGATCTTCAGTCATCAAAGGTGCCTAGCTCTTTCTTTCAAAGCACTTAAGGGAAATCAGTCTCATCTTTCCTACTTTTCAGCCAGGAAAATAAGGTAGGCAGAGGTAATGTGATTCACCCAAGTTTGCCCAGCTCTATTCTGATTTCCATTCTGGAAGGAAAGCATTTCAAATAAGAGTGCTCTCAAAGTATTTGGGCACATTTTCCATTGCAAAGACTGAATTTAGCTAATTAGGTCAAACTATTATGTGAAAAGATTATGTCCAACCCACTTTAATACTTTCATTAATCTCCGGAGTAAGAACAAGAAAGAACAGTTATTCTTTAAATACAATTCCAGAAAACTCTGTGTGGGCTTGTGCAGCGTGACTGTGAACAAGTCCTCTAGTGTTGAAAGAATTCAGGGCAAATACCAAGGAAAATACATGCACTCTCTCTGCAACAGCCAGCAAAATGCAGCTGCGGACTCCAACCGAAGCAGCGAATCCGGAGTGGCACCCAGGGAACAGGGAGAACTGTGCAGGTCAGGGAAAGGGGCCACTCCCCGGCAGGAACATTCAATATTTGCTTCTCAGGCTCCCTCATCTGCTCTTAAATCAAAAGACCCCCAAGTCCTTTAGTTCGATCTTCTCTATACTTCTATATCTGGATTTGAGACCTTGATATACTTCTATATCTGGATTTGAGACCTTGAAATCAGGCCTACAACTTGCTTCAAATGAGTTCGGACATACTCAAGCCTGGCAACAGCCCAAGCTGGTGGAAAATGTTTTCAAGCACAGTTTTACAGGGAACTCAGTCAGAGGCCAGTGTCTTACCCACCTCTGCACTTGTGCTTTGCATAGCCTGGTCACACTGGCAGGAGCAATGCTAGATGCTACCAGTCAGAATGGCAGCATCTTCCAACTGCTTTGAACAGGCAATATAATCAATACACATGATGCAAAGTATTAAAAAATGAAGTTGTCTGTTTTGTTCAATTGCATATAGCCTGGAACTTGAAGTATGGGATGAGAATAATTTAAACGAACTAAAACTTTTCAGAAAGTAAGGATGAATGACAATAGGCACTGAAAGGCTGAAAAGGGTATCAGGAGAAAAGGGGAAGACTTGCTTGCTCAGGGACAATTACTTTTATATTTTCTATTTCCATGACTCTTACTGCTATTAAGATGTATTTATAGAAAATAAAACGTCTGGCATGAATGGAAGGGAGGGAAGAGGAAAAGACAGGGGAAGAAGGGAGATAAGATGGAGTCTCTCTTTTTTTTTTTTTCCTTAAACTGCCTTCTAGGCACATTAGGGCTCTGCTCCTTATCTACGTGGCTCCAATTTCTTTACACCCTTCCACCTCCATCCTCTTTAAAAAGTAGTATGTCCCATTTTTTAAAACACTCAATCCAGTCCTCTGAGCTGGTATGAAACCTTGTTTCATGCCTTTATTTGCTTCAGAGATCATGAAAGTTCCGGAAAAAATGAAATCAAAAGTCCTAACATACAGCAGCAATATTTCTCAATATTTGCTATGCTAGCAAGAATTGAAGGACTGCAGCTAATACTGCTGCTCCAAGCTTCATGTAGTCCCAGTGGGTGCAATGCACACTACAGCCACAGAGGTTTGATAAAACATTGACTTAAAACACGCCTGCTTCCCCAGTGCAGCATCTTTTTGAACATATAATGGAACATGCTACACTGTGGAACACCGAGGAGTGCTGTGCAGTGGTACAGAAGTTAGGAAAAGCCCCGCCATGTCCCTTTTTGCTGAAATTTAGGATTTGTTGTTTGTTCTTCCTGGTTGCTTCTGCTTGGAATCTTACAAAAAAAAAAAGATAAGCAACGTGCCAGGAATGAATTATCTTGAATCTCGCCGTCCTGGCCAAAAAGTGCAAACTAAGTGCTAAGGCAGGATAAATTTCATACTGAAAACTTAGATTATAAATCATCCTCCATCAACATAACCTGTTACCTGACAGCTGATGTTAAAACAACTCAGAAAAAAATAAATCCTGTTCGATTCATTTAAAGTAGAACTTTCTGAGCCATTTACTAGTACTGACTGTACAAACAGCTAGAAATGAAATCTCATGCTCAATGAAAACAATAATCACTGAGCAATGAGACAACTAGAAATCTAATTCCAGGGAGACCTGCCAGACATGTTTTCAGATGTGTAAGTTACCTCTTTGAACTTGTGCGCAAGCTTGCCGGTGTCCAGGTCGCTGGGGGAGAACATGTCATCGTTTTCAGGAAGATCGAACACTTCAATGGCCACGTCGCCTCCTGGAAGGACAGGCCCCATGTCTTCATCTTCCTCATCTGTAGCATATTCCCCTGTCTTAATTTCACAGCATTTAAGAAATTCAAGTTATCTTCTTATTATACAGAGATTGTTATATATGTAACATTTGTAGACTTTCAAAGAGTAATTTAGCTGGTGTGTAATTACAGCACATTGCATGCAAAAAAACTTGTGTTTTTGTTCAGCTCTAGTCCAAGCAGTTATGATTTCTAAATATGTGAACTACTGTTCCACAGTGGTATTTCAGAACACTAAGACAGAGGAGAAAACAGTATCCTAAGCACTGAAAATTTCCAGGGGCCAGCTTTACTGGCTGTAGTTAGTGGTTTTCATCCTTTTCCAAACATGGCTTGCTTTCCCTTAGGAAGGTTTCTCTCAGTGTATTTCAGTTTTAATATGGAATCCTTTCCAAACAGAAATAAAAGCAGAACAGAACTGGCAGGATCTTGATTAGTGTTTTGTAAGTCAACTGCAGGTAGTAACTCTCAGGTGAAAATCCACGCTGAATTTAAAAAATCAGTTGGTTCATTCTTCACAAACAAATTAGCAATAGAAAAGTCACTTCTGCACGGAGAGACAACATGGGCAAAAATAAACTGTCAGAAACAAGCCCACCGAAATCAAGCTTTACTGAATTTTCACCCTGAATAAACAAGCGCTACTAGCTAGTTTTACACGTAAAATGTGGGTGTTTCTTGGGTTGGTTAGACATGAAATATGGACATACTGTTTGCTAATAAAACAGAGGTCTAAAAAGCATAAGTTAATCGTGTTTCTGAAGACTAAAAAATGCAATACAACAATGCTGAAAATAAAATGCTTATAGTATCATACCCCAAGGTGCCTAAACAATGTTTTGCATGTGCACCTACGCTCGCCACAAATCCAAGGTGGCTGATTGCTTCTGCATTCTGAAGTAGATCTCAGCGGAACCACAGCCCACACATAGTCCGTGGAAATGACTATCTGAACACGGCGAAACTTCCCACAGGGATATCTGGACTTATCAGTGCAGGAATAAATAAATGCATGAGAAAGGGAGGGCAGGGAGGACACAGTCCTTCTCATGAATAAAATAATATTTATGACACCCAAAGTTTTGATAGAGCTATTCAATTTTTATGTGTGCTTTCAGTTCCTGGGGTAAAGGTGCATGGTATTATTTTCCGAAATACATTCCTAGCAATGCTCAAATATGTATTGGTATCATTTTTCTTTTTTCTTCAAAAGAACTCTTCAAATCAAGAGGTAAGAATTCAGGTGTCCAAACAACAGTTAGAATTTCAGCCTCCTACCTTAAGTAAGCTTCTCAGCTGTCATTTAGACTTATGTAAATCTCTTTCAATTAAATAGTAAGGCATGGAAGCACATTAATTGTAGATATACACGAGTACACACAAACAGAAAATACATATGAACGCATCCAAAAATACAGTGATGTATTTGCAGTAATAAGCAGCACCACTTCTTGAATAGATAGCACACTTAAAATTTAAGTTTAGTTTATATTTTGCTAAACTGCTCAAATGAAAGACAAAACACCTGGAAAACAAAATAATTTGGTAAAAAAAAACTATCAAAAGATGACAAACCACCACAGTGTATGACCTATTCATACACTAAATACAAGTGAATGTGAAAAAATTCCTAGGATAACCTGTTGCTGTATCTTAAAAAAAATGTTTACATATTCTCCAATCAAACATACGGTAGGCATACTTGACATACTTTATATGTACAAAGACTAAGAACTTTAGCAGTCTTCAAAAAAAAAAAGTTAGGAGCTGCTTTTGTTTCTTCTTGCCTTCTTTAAAAAAAAAGCAAGGAACATCAATAAAACAGATTATTTTAGTTAGGAGAGATTACTTCAAAAACTTAGGCTAAAAAGAAATAATTCACACAAAAGATGAAAATGAGGATATATAAAAGGCTTGGCCTTATGAGTAAACCCGTTTCAGACACTGAGTTTGAGGCAAAGATCAAGAACAGAACATGTTGAGCCAAAGTTCAAGAACAGAAGATGTTCTACTGTCCTCAGGAGACAGTGAGACATCAGCCAGATTAAAATGAACACAAAGGGAAAATTCGCTTCAAATCCTACATATTGAATGTGAATGGACATGGTCATTTTTGCCTCAATTAATACAAAAAGTAGTCCTCAAAGTGAAACTCTTTGCTGGAGTAAGTAAGATTACAGGATGGCACAAACATATTATAGAACAGAGAAGTAAATGGGCGTTTTGTTCTTGCCCTCAAAAGAAAGCTTTTAGATTCTTATAATTGCATGATGAAAAAATTACAGCTGCATAAGTAATAATGTGCATTTTAAAGAAATATTTGTTTACATATGTTACATATGCTTATCTAGTACATAAAAATTTTCATTTAAAAAAAAGTAATGCCTGCTGGCTTTTATATCACATAAAACTACTAAAAAGTTATTCAAAGCCAATGCCAATAACTTATACAAAAAACATACTAAAAATTATACAGTAGCCAATGTAATCTTAAGCATTCTTGAAGCAAAATCTCACTCCCTAAACATCCTTTACTGGGTAGCACCATTCACCCATCTAAAGCAGATGAGCAAAAGTAATACTCAGCCTTGAGCTTACCCCCGGCGTAGGAATGGCCTTCATCTGACACCTGCTGTTTAGTAGTTGCACATTAACACAGGTAACAGCACAAAATTATAAATGAGAATTGTAATGTCCTACTTCCAAAGGGAAAATGTGTCACTCGTGCTGTCTTAGTGGCCCTGTAAATTATGGAAACATGCTTAACACAAGCATAAAATAGGAGCAGCACCGGCCAAGTCAGCTTCTCCAAAACACCATAAATGTGGGGGATTTGGAAATATGGCTGAATCTTTTGTCTATGTATGTGCAGCAACTCTTCCCACGGGCAGGGAATGCCACTTGAAGAACTCCATAGCACCTCTTCTTCTGATCTTTTTTAGAGTTTTCACTTAATTCTTTTGTGAGAGCAAAGAAAAAATTAATCGTATAGTATCACCACTTTCATGAAAATACTTCATATTGATGACGTTGGAAAAAGTGTATTCTCTGAAAGATTTCCTCAACCATAATGCATTCTTTGGGATTTGGACATCCAAGAACATGGCAATGTTCTAATGCTACTTTGCTCTCAGAATATCCTGATAAATAGTAATTAAAAATGAAAAAATATTCAAATGTCTATTAGTAATATTAAAATACAAAAAAAGTATTACTTGCATAAAACTACTTGTCCATGGCCACAGAGTGAACAGAATGCTGCAATATGCTATCAATTTCTCCTCTTGCATCACAGCATGCAGACTGCAGGGGAATATGACATCTCTTTTATGTGAATTTTGCCATTCACTGTTAAATATGAAAAGATAACACCATGTTCAAATTAAGACACCAAGAGATATCATAATTTGATTAAATATGCCTAGAACCCTGTGTTAATGCAGCAAAGTCAAAAAATTTCACTTAAAGATACAGATTCAGGCCACATTAGGTGGGAAACACAAAGGCACTGCCTACTTGAAACAGTTTCCCAGCCATCTTTTCTGCCAGGATACAACAAATCAGGAAGGGCTGGGGGATTTTAGAAAAAGAAAGAAACTGGTGAGGAGTAAATTCTGCAACAGTTTATCTAGATGTAGTTCCTGTAACAAGACGTTCTCCTTGCTTTACTGCAGTTGGCACTGGCTCATAGGGCAATACCAACTGTAAGATGTGTATGAGTGTGAACCTTCCTCCGCCTACCAATAACTGGCCCGTAACATTCCCATAAGGCAGTGGAATGAGGAGTTGCAAGAGTCTAACAAGTCACTCTATAATTTAGCATCTGACTAAGGTCCTGCATAAGCTGGTTGGCAGACATCAACACTTCTTCCATCACTGCTGCTTTAGAGAACGCCAATTCTTCTGAAACAGGCAGAAGATTCTGCCTGGATGCTGCCTAGATGCTGCCTATGATGAAGACTGTCTTAAGTTTTAAGTTAAAGGAATGCCAGGCAGCCTGTAACACAACAAGGTCAAACGCCAGACTTGAACACGCCTGGAACATTCTCACTCCATGCAAGTTGCTCAGCCAACAGCTTTTCCAAACGCAGGCACGTGCAGCGACCCTGGGACTCCAAGACTCATCAATGACTTTGTGCTCAGTAAACCTGGCATATTATTACTGTCTTTGTGGAAAAGTCTCTGGAGCTCAGAATTTGACAGCCTCAGTGAAGGACAGAATTTTGATTATTTCCCCCTTATTTAAGTGGAGTTGAAGCTACCACATGTCCTACCACCTACCAAGAGCCGACTGAAAATGAGCAGATCAGTCGGATAGCTGCGAAATGGAGCACATCTGTGCAGAAATCCCTATCATCTCAGTATGAAACTCCTCATGCTGGCAATCCAAGTATCACTGATCTTCATGCAGTCAGAATCCGTATCTTTGTTACGAGAGGGACTTGGAAAGATAATCTTTTGGTACATTTGTGGATATTCATCTGTATGATGCAGACTGTGATTTCCGTGCCCAAAAGATGCCTCCTTTACCAGAGCCAATGAATGCCATGCTGGTAGTGGAATCTGGCATACAGCAACATAAACAAATCCAATATCTCATCTGTCATAACACAGCAAGGTGAGCTTGAAGCAGTAATGTTCATATTTGATAGAAAATGAGGCAGAAGTGCTTGTGATGACCAAAAATGTCCTTGAACTGTGTCTAATGCACATCAGATCACAGCTTCTATAAAGTCAATTGCCTGGGAATGGTGCAAGTTACATGAGTTTATTGGGAAACAGTCATTCAACAAAAGTTTGAACAAATTCAGGATTTCTGCAGATTCCCAACACAACCTACTAGTGAGTCTGTTAATCAAGAAGGGGATTGTGCCCATTGCATACTTCAGTAACTGTATTCCAGCTGTCTATTCTGAGCATAAAAAATAATGCAGCCCCCCATGCACATTGTTCTTTTGAGACCTAAAGCATTTCCTCAGTTGTTCCGAAGCCTAATTCCTTCTCCTCCCAAGACAGATCTATGGTACCTTTGTATCTAGTAGAGGTTTTTTGCCCTTCTTCTTCCTCCTTTCATCACATACTGTGCAAGAGTTCCCTTTGCACTGCACAAGATGATGGCCAAAAAGCACACTTTATGGTCACAAACATGGTACCATCCTTACTGTAGCACTAGGATAACATATGGATGCCTTCATTCTGTTATCTGCTTGTCCTCCCTTTATTTCTCTCTGTCAGCCAAAGACACTATCAATAGAAAACTCCTCTTGCACTTAAATTTTCCTGCACCAATCAATTCGATATTTGCTGTTATGGAACAGAAGGAATATTTTAAACACATGCTGAAAAGCTCCGCAGTGATTTTCTTCTTGAAATAAGATTTACCACCACAATCTTTAAAAAGCAGCAGCAAGGGTAGTGGACAGTGCCAACAGCTAGTCTCTGAGGCACAAGTGGAAAGCAGGAACAGGAAATACAAAACATCACGTGAAAAAAACAATCACCAAAGAGACAAATGCTAGAGAGCATGTTACCTCATCGTCATCTGCATCGTACTGGGCGTAATGCTGCTCGAGGAGCTCTCTCTGGCGCCGTTCCTGTTCCAGAGTCTGGCTAATCAGCTGCGCAACCTCGCTGACTTGTCCCGGTTTTTCTCGTCCAATCACAAACCTATATAAAACACAGTGGGAAAAAACATCACTCCGGTTGCTTTATCAAAGGTCTTGATTTTCAGTTGTATCTAGACTAGAGAGTAGCCTTTTCCTTCAGAAATGCGGCCTGTGGTTGCTTTAAAGATGTTCCGTGGACTAGAGTTGCCACAAGGGCACTGTTTACAAAGAGAGGTCAGGCCAGGAAACGACAGTGTTTCCCCTTCACACAGGAAAAAAGTGATCGTGACCAGTGACCTCTAAAACCTTCACTCCTAATTTGAACTACAGGGATTTAGGCTGAAAGTGGGACGGATTTTTTTAAAAAGTATCATCACTCCCAGTCCCTTAAGAATGTATTTCTCAGAAGCCAACAAAAGACCAGATAAACAGTGAAAATATAGAGAAATTTCTGACAGCTGGTCGTGAAAATAACATGCACTGGATTATTTTCTTTCTCCATCTTGGCCTAAAAGACATTTCTGAACTTTTGTGTTTGTCTTTTGCCTACCTATGAAAGAGAATCGATTTCTACATTTTAAAATCTGACAGACCCATTTCCCTAATTTTAAACTTCACTTAAATCTTTCGTTTCATCAACTTCTGTTGTTAGGGAGCATTTTTCTGCAGTGCTAGTTATTGATAAAAATTGGAAGCACATTTCTTTGGCTTAATAGCAGACAACAAAAGTTTCCCTTTCTTTAGCCGAGACTTGCATTGTTTTCAACCTTGTTTACAGCAACTGAAATTTTGGACTGGCTTTGATTGCAACACTTTTTTCGGTACAATGGCACAGCCGTTGTATCTCTGCCACATATAGTATTAATGATAAATGCCCACTATATAGCACTGATATTGTAAACAACTGAACAAAAGTACCGTTTAAAGGTGTCAAGCTGAAGTAACATTTTCTTAACAGGCTAGAAAGACATTAGGCAATTGCAGGTGAAAAAAAGTATTACGTAGAGCTGAAAAGTAAAACCAGGTGACTCTGAGACACTGCATATGGTAAATTATTTGTTTCCAAAATACTTGGCACCAATGAAGAATTTAATTTGTTATTTGGAATAAGAAGTGTTTATTATATCCCCTGTAAGAAAATGATTTTGGTTAGTACTGTCTGTTGCTGTTAAAGACATTTGAGATTTGGCATCTATACATAGGACAAGCTGCCATGTGTGGATGAGCCTCAGCCCATTTCCTACGCCAAACAATTTGTCAGACTGTATGAAGTCATGTGCTATAGAAAAGAATACAGTTTGGAGATTATTTTGACACTAACAAAACAAATGAGCTAATAATTGTTTCCAAAAGGATAGGAAAGGTGAGAACTGACACAGTTTGAAATAATAAAACAAGGTGCTCCAAAAATAGTTCACGAGGAAGAGACGTAGTTTAAAAATATTAACAGAAAATACAACAGACACTAGAATGATATCAGCAAGTAACATCAGTATTTTAATCCTGATTAAATCAGATCACCGTCTGGCACTCACACCCTACAATTACGAAATATGACATTGGTTCTCAGCAATGATAAAGACCTGGGGCTGGAAGAATGTTTGTTTATGACCCCTCTACTTCATCTGTTCTGCACTCTGACTCATAGTCAGATCCTGTTTCTTCTGAATTCTCACTTTACAGCCAAGCATTACTCCAAAAGAGTAAAACAGCCATATCTGCAGGCTCAACTGAAAGGAACAATGAACCTTTGACATTACTACACCAAGTAAAGAAGTATTTAACCCACATTTGCCATCTGCTTGCCTCTTCTATGGAAAAATAAAATAAAAGAGAATATGGAAAACATCAATTTCATTTTAAATAAATATTTTCAGAGAAATTACACATTAATATATTATTTATACACAGCAGAGATAACATCATATTTATAAATACATGAGGGTGATCACCCATGTAATAAAATACAGAACAATGTAACGTGCTGTATATAGAATTCTTTCTCCTGTCCTCTGCCTGGAAATTCACTTCCCTTGGAAAATAACATACTTGAGCAAATTCATACAACTATTTCCACACTGCCTGAAAGTCTAGGATAGGTAATATGCCATACATTTGAAAACTGTTAATTCCTGATTATTTGTGATTAATAATACATGGCAACTAAAAGCCTCTCTTTCCCCTATCTCTACACTTGGAATGGTCTTGACACATTAAACTGTAATGCAATGATATTTTCATATAAAGAATTAGGTTGAGGTAGGAAATAAAAATTTAAAAGCTTATTAATTACAATTTTATTCTCAGCCCAAAGACAGGTTATAGTGATGTTATTTTCAAGGATTGAAACATACGTCAAAAATAAGTTTCTCAATCATACCAAGGTGTTAGAAGGTAGATGACACATGAATCAAAGCCTCAAAGCAATGGCGAAGCATGCAGCAAATATTTTCCAAAACAGACATATACAAGGAATGTTTTATCTTCCTACAGTTCACTGCTTTTAAGGAAGTGAGCTATTTGATAATTACACTAAAGTATCTGAAAATAAATATTGAGAAGTATTTATTCTATGATTGATAGCAGTTACGAAAGGAAAATTATGTTTCCAACACTTACAGTTTTTATGAAGTAAACAAAACTTTTTGCCAGGCTAAATTTCATGAAGTTAAAGTATCAAATTAAATACAATAGAATAATTCTGTTGAATTTGTAAATAGAATAATCTGTAAATTACAAATTTGTAATTTAAGGAGAGAAGGAAAAATATTTCTTTCTTTTGAACACCATAAAGGAGAGAGTTTTTAAAATGCTGAATATTAGTTGGATTCTTAAGCCTCAATTGGCTTTAACTATGAGATCTATCATAATCTGAAGCATTTAAATATTAAAAAGGGACATAAGGTTGTGAATCACTGACCAGAAAATTAGTCACTAAAGCATAATATGCACCCTTCAACAAAATAGCTAATTACGTGTTTCCCATCACTGTGGCTCACCAAAATTAAGCACATACATTTTAGACTTAATTAATTAGTCTCAAGGGCCAAAGTATTAAAACAAAAAACTACAAATTCTGTCTGTGATATCTTTCAGAAGGTGGTTATTTCTTGGATATTAGACAAATGAGGATGTTAAGGCCATTTCAGCCTCATCATGACAAACTCCCCTTAATTATTAAAGCTCAGAAATACAAAATAAAACCAAGCAAACCTCTGTAGTTGTATTAAAAGTAATTAATGTAGATTAAATCTGAAGGAGAGGCAGAGAGGGAGGGAAAGAATAACAAGGCAGCAAGACACAAACTAACCTGGATATTCAGTTATAGATTATGTAGCTCAATTGTCATAAAATATTGTTTTTGGCTTTTTGGTTTATAAAATAAACAGGGACAGAGATTTATATTTGAGCCTGCCTTGGGTATAAGAAAATATAAAGGAATAGAAAATACGGAGAAACTGAAAATTCAGCTGAAGTAATGGTGGTTAGGGGAAGTATTCTACTGAAACAGGGAAAAGCGCCTATGTCTCCTGCAACCCCTGACAATTTAAGGATTTAAAATTCTGCCTCTTATACTGTTTTCTGCATATTTGTAGTTTTTATTAATTGAAGATGTGTAGACCTATGCTTCTTGAAAAAAGAGTAGTTTATTTAATTTTTACCAACAATGGGAGCCAGAAACATTATTTTAACAATTAATTTATTTAAAAAACATTTCATTTTTTTAAGAGTTTTGCAATTAGAAAAAAGTGTGCAAACACTGTAACTCTATGACACAAAATGGAACTTCTGCTGCATGTATTTTTAATTCTCAGTGAAACTTTTTCTCCTAAAATATTTCATGCATTAATGTTAGTTAAGGATAATTTATTTCAGATTCCTTAAATTCAACAAAAATTAAAAAAGAATGCAACAGACAAGTCAGACAGAAAGAACAGTTTTTACTGTAATATGATTAACAGAGGCATTTTTTCTAATTTCTAACTTTCCTAAAATATAGTGCGGTCATTAAAAATGTATAGCAAATGTACAGTAACACAGTACTTCATTGTAATTTGGGGAATTTTACTTTTTTTGACAAAAATAGGGTTTAAAAATGGATTTCCTCCGAGTTTTAAAGTACAGAGCTGATTCTGTTATCATTTAGCTAATTTCTTTCAAGATGTCTTTAATTACCTACCCTGGCTCCCTCCCCTAGGATAAGAACTATATAATTAAACCAAAGGGCGAGAAGTGGTACAAACTCTGTAAGGAGGCAATTTTGTTTAGTTACAACAGTGTAAGAAGGAACTCACAGGCTTTTTGTAAACAAGATCAGACTCTCTGAATAGATGTTGGCCTCCAACAGGGGTCAACGATTTGGTGGAAGAAATTTGCAAACTATGACAATCCATTACACATTCTCCTATAAAAGAGATCTGAAACTTAATAGCCACCAAGAGGAAATAACAACTGTACAAATAATTGAATCATTGAATAAGTTAGGTCGGAAGGAACTTCTGGTCCACCTCCACACACACACACATCCCCTACTTAAAGCATTGCCAGCTCAACCACGGTCTTGTTCAGTTCTGCATCTCTCTAGGGACAGGAAAATTCTACAGCCTCTTTCAAAGCTTGGAAGAGCATTGCACCTTGCTGTGATTTTTTTTTCTTTTTCTTTTTTTGACAACGTCTAGTCAGAATTTTCCTTGCTGCAACTTCTTCATTGCTTATCCCATCAGCAGCACAACTGAAGAGTCTGGGCTAACCCTTCCTACCACTTATAAGTTAGCTGAAGATAGCAGTAAGGTCCCAACCATCCCATCCTTCTGTTTTTCACACCGAAGCTGGTCTTTCTACCTCTCCTCAGGGTCTTTTCTTCAGAGCCGCGCTCTGCCTCATCACTCCCACTTCACAGTGTTGCACAGGGCTATTCCTCCCCAGCACAGGACTCCGTATTTGCCTTCGCTGGCCTTCATGAGGTTTTTGCAAGCTCATTTCTCCAGCCCCTCAAGGTCCCACTGAGTAGCAGCCCTGCTCATCAGCCTATCAGCCATTCTACTCAGTTTACTATCATCT